ATAGATACACGTGTCTCCCTTATTAATTACAGATATACACGTGTCTCTTTTAATAACCAACGTGCCAAGGGTCAAAATTGGTGGGATATTGTGAGATGGTATTGTGGGTTGTGATTGTGGTGGGTACTGTGAGTGGGGGTTGTGGTGGTGGTTGTATTGCGGTTGGGTATTATGGTTGGGTATTGTGGGTAGGTATTGTGGTTGGGGATTGTGGGTGGGGATTGTGGGTGGATATTGTGGGTGGATATTGCGGTCGGATATTTTGAGTGGGGTTTGTGGGTGGGGATTATGAGGTGGGGATGGCGTTGGGATATTGCGAGTGAGTGTAGGGGGTGGGGGGGGGGGGGGGGGGGGGTGGAGGTATTGATGTGGGGTTTGTTGATAGGGGTTGCTATGGGGATTTTTTTGTGGATATTGCAGTCGGATATTGTGAGTCGGTATTGTAGGTGGATATTGTGAGTCGGTATTGTGGTCGGATACTGTGAGTCGGTATTTTGTTCGGATACTGTGAGTCGGTATTGTGGTCGGAAGTTGTGAATGGGTATAGTAGGTGGGTATTGTTGTGGGGATTATGGGATGGCGATTGCGGTGGGATAGAGTGAGTAGCCATTGCGGTGGGATACAGTGAGTGGGCATTGCGGTGGGGATAACGATGGGAACTTCAAGAGGGTATAGCGGTGGGATATTGTGGATGGAGATTGCAGTGGGATATTGTGTCAGGGATTGTGAATGGGGATTGCGTTGGGTAATGCGGGTCGTATCATAGCAACAACAACGTTCTGATATCTGATATCCATGCGTTGATTATCTAGTCTAATACTTTGAGTTTGATACATTTATAAGCGCCATTCTGAACGATCTTTTTTCTAAACGATCAAGAGGCGATAGACGAACGTGTTGGTTCCCAGCAGAGAAGACACAACGCTGTGCATGGCGGATTGAGAAGATCGTTCAGGACATCGCTATATACATGTTTTCTTCGTTACAGTCGCCACAGCAGTCTCAATTTACACTTTTCATTTTCATGATGTTTTGTGGATTGTGTTAATTTCCTGATATTTTATCTTGTTATTTACTGAGAATGTATGTGACACGTGGCCACAAAAGGTGCAGTTATTTAAGCAACTTCCTACTTGTTTACTTTTCTGAAACGTTTTTAAGCAATTTAGGGACACAAAAAAAGTCAAAGGAGTCAACAATGAGTGAGTGAGTTTGATTTAACGCCCATGGAACATCATTTACGTTATATCACGGCGTGGTGTCAGTTTGATGTGGGAGGAAAGCCTGAATGGAGTGATACACGTCCTATACGTGATTCGAACCCACGATCACAGATTCCTGGCACGCCTAAGGGAGGCAACTCGGGAGTCACCGTGAGTCCTCGATGCAACGAACATTCAGCGATAATACGTCATACCGTTTAGCATTTTAATCAATAAACAGAGTAACAGCAAGTTTACTAGTATAACATCATGACAACATCATCAACCACGAGTTGACAACAGATTACTGATAACACATGTTTCCCCAAATACACTGAATTTATCAAATCTTCAAGTAAGGTGGTCGTTTAGTCTGCAAGGACAATAGCAAAATGCTTACAGTTTCACCGCAACAAATTATCAAATGGACACAGAAACATTGGCGGTTCCCGGCTCAATATTGACGTATCCTGACTGTTGTAAATCCCCGACGGTGATGCCGCAGTTCAGGACGTCGTTCTTTGCCTTCTTTGCACATGTTAAATCCGGAACTCTTTTCTTGAAGTTAATTGTATTGATAAAGATAACACCAATCTATGTATACTTACTCAGAACATTAACATAATTACCATTGAAAAAAACATCTTTCATTCAATGCCAACTGACCAACTCTTCTGAAAATGACAATATTTTTTATCGTAATTAAGTGATAATTTCCACTCTTTGGTGTGACATTCTCAGATGCTAAGTTGTTTTTGTAGTCCAACACAGAATCTGTATACTAAAATAACATGGTGTGGTTGCAGACACATGACCAGACAAGCACCTTGTCCCATTGACGACATGAACTGCCGTAATATGAGTATTGGGTAAATGACAACCTTGATGACATCCCATGTTTTCTCTCCCATTGCGTTATCTGCCAAGAGAGACATATGGACGGGCCATGGACTCTGCAAATGTTCATTCAACTTAACTCGTCTTTGCTTAATGCGTTTGTCCACTTTTTCAGTGTATTAGTGTCGAACAAAACCATTTGTCAACGGATTTATTCATGCTGTTGCCCATCCCCGTTTGTGGGCGCAGTCGTCTGAGGCGCCGCAGTTCGCAATTTGGCAAGCCAGAAACCTATGATTGTGGGTTCGAATCCCGGTTCCCCCCGATTATGTTTCTAGGTTTGTCAGTACCATACCCGTGTTCATGGGTTTCCCCAAAGTGGTAAACATCTGAGACCTGCATCACTTCGGGCTTTTCTCCCACATTAAGCTGACACGCCGTGATATAACTGGAATACTGTTTAAAGCGGCGATAAACCCAATTCACTCACTCCAAACGTTTAGCAGCGATAATATTGACAGGACGATGATGCATTCAATGCGTCAACTAGATGGCGACGTCCACAGCGGACAAAAAAGTAATATACGAACAAATATATATCTATTTAAACGGGAAACTTTATTATTAAATGTCTTTCCTAACATAAACGGTTTAATCATAAACAGTGTGCAAGTAAATATGACAGGGGAACCAGAACACACTGTACCCATGTGGGGAATCGAACCCGTGACTTCGTGTGACAGGCGAACACTTCAACCGCTAGGCTATCCCACCACTCTCCATTTCACAGACAGTAGTGGGCCCGTGAAGATCCAGGGTAGAACAGATCTTCAGCAACCCATGCTTGCCGTAAAAGGCGACCATGCTTGTTGTAAAAGGCGACTAACGGGATCGGGTGGTCAGGCTGACTTGGCTGATGCATGTCATCGACCCAATTGCGTGAATCGATGCTCATGTTATCAATCACTGGATTGTCTGGTTCAAACAAACAAACAGACAGTAGAGACTTACAAACACATGAGATATTATTGTTAAAATATGGAAAACAGGGGTTGATATCATGAGCAACGTCCTTCGCCGTCGGGGTACGATGACACCAAAATAACCTAGTCCAATTTAGTCGCTTCTTTTGACAAGCACGTGGGTTGCCTGGGACGTATTCTAACACGGGATCCCTCTTACTATGTGAAGTGTCATCCGATCATTCTAATTTCCGAGGGGACACGGGTGGCCCAGTCGTCTAAGGCGCCGCGATTCGCTGTCCAGAGTTGTGTCCCTTGGGCACGCCAGAAACCTATGATTGTGGGTTCCAATCCCGGTTCGCCCCGATTATGTTTCTAGGTTTGTCAGCACCACACCCGTGCTCGTGGGTTTCACCGAAGTGGTAAACGTCTGAGACCTGCATCACTTCGGGCTTTCCTCCCACATTAAGCTGGCACGCCGTGATATAACTGGAATAATGTTAAAAGCGTCGTTAAACCCAACTCACTCACTCTAATTTCCGAACTCTACGGAAATTTTCACGTATCTTACAGATTTGTTCTCACCCCTTTAACGACGTCAAATAACGACAAGTCCACATTTGAGAACAAGACCAAAATGGCTGTTGCAGCATTGAGCAGTCCGTTAAGATTTACTAAATGTGTACACTCTTCGCTCGTAGTACAATGAGGGAACGCTATATAGTACAGTGGAGGAACGCAAAAAGTACAGTGGGGGAAAGCCATAGTACAGTGAGGGAACGCTACAGTACAGTGGAGGAACGCTATAGTACAGTGGAGGAACGCTATGGTACAGTGGGGGAACGCTATAGTACAGTGGAGGAACGCTATGGTACAGTGGAAGAACGCAAAAAGTACAGTGGGGGAAAGCCATAGTACAGTGAGGGAACGCTACAGTACAGCGAGGGACCGATACAGTACAGTGAGGAACGCTATGGTACAGTGAGGGAACGCTACAGTACAGCGAGGGACCGATACAGTACAGTGAGGAACGCTATGGTACAGTGAGGGAACGCTACAGTACAGCGAGGGACCGATACAGTACAGTGAGGAACGCTATGGTACAGTGAGGGAACGCTACAGTACAGCGAGGGACCGATACAGTACAGTGAGGAACGCTATGGTACAGTGAGGGAACGCTACAGTACAGTGAGGGACCGATACAGTACAGTGAGGAACGCTATGGTACAGTGAGGGAACGCTACAGTACAGCGAGGGACCGATACAGTACAGTGAGGGAACGCTACAGTACAGTGAGGGAACGCTACAGTACAGTGAGGGAACGCTACAGTACAGTGAGGGAACGCTACAGTACAGTGAGGAACGCTACAGTACAGTGAGGGAACGCTACAGTACAGTGAGGAACGCTAAAGCACAGAATACATCGTTACAGTATCATTGATCAGTGAGGAACGCTACAGTACAGTGAGGGACCGATACAGTACAGTGAGGGAACGCTACAGTACAGTGAGGGACCGATACAGTACAGTGAGGGAACGCTACAGTACAGAATACATCGTTACAGTATCATTGATCAGTGAGGAACGCTAAAGAAAACAGACGCTATTGTACATTGAGGGAACACTGTGAGCGAGGGCGTCAGGGAAGGATTTGGGGTCAATAAATCGTCATTTGAGAAGGGGGTGGGGGTGTAGGAGACTCAGTTAAAGTGGGAGGGCGGGGATTCAGGCTCGCGATCAGTGAAAGGGGTGGACGTGAGGGTAGGGGTGGAGGAATGGTGAAGTGTGTGGGTAGGGATTTTGAAGTGTGAGGGTGGGGATTTAGGGTGGTGAGTGAGTGAGTGAGTATGGTTTTACGCCGCTTTTAGCAATATTCCAGCAATATCACGGCGGAGGGCTTCAAACATTGTACCCATGTCGGGAATCGAACCCGGGTCTATGGCGTGACGAGCGAACGCTTTAACCACTAGGCTACCCGACCGCCCCTTAGGGTGGTGATAGCGTGTGAGTAGGAATGGTGAGTCGGATTAAGCGTGTGGGTTGGGATTTAAGTTAAGGGAAGCTTGGAAAAGGTGATGATTGATTGACTTTAAGGGAGTTTAAGGAAGACGAGGTAGGTTAGGTTACATTTGGCGAATGTGGTTAATGTGTTGACACAAATGCATACACAATAACAACAATGTCGGTGGCACGTGAATAAAAAATGAACAAAATAAATAAAAATATATTTCAGTAAGGGGACATAATTAAAACATGTGATCCGTATGAAAATTTGGATCAGGTTGGCAAGTTAACTGATTTGATTCAGTGTTCACAGACCGATGACAAGGAAGCATTCATAAAGACGGAGAGCTTGGAGAGTAGTTCGGAGACTCCGGCAAACTACTTGGGTGTCGCTGGGTGTTGCTCCTTGTACGCCCCCTGCGCGTGGCTAGATATACATCAAGGATAGTTCCTCTCTCTCCCGTTCAGTTTCACCATGGTTACCGTCAGCTGGATCAAAATGATTTTTCAAATGGTGAATGGTGAAGTTTACATATATCAGAACATAGTATGATACATAGTCTGGTATACGGTATAATATTTATATCACTGTGAAGTTTAATATAGTGAAACGTTATACTGTATAAATAAATCATCAAATATATATTTTTGTTACCGTTAGCAACCGTTAAAATGAAAACAGTGGCAAATATTTAACAAAGAAGAAAAAACCCAAAAAGAGATGCCCCGGGTGAGGATCGAACTCACGACCTTCAGATTGCTCTGACTCGATCGAAATGATTATGAGACTGACGCGCTACCTACTGCGCTACCGAGGCCTGCACAACAACTGCAAATTTATATAAGTCAATCTTACAAAAAAAGGGTTTCTAACGTCCTACAACATTGAGTTCCAATATTAGAATATATTTTGTCGGTATCTGCTAAATCATTGTGCATCTTAAAATAGCGCCGCTGTTGTTATCGGAGGTCAACACAGATATCACCAAGTGGGAGCCCAGTCGAGTGTGTGTAACGATCGCCGCCTTCCGTGGCGGTTGACGGAATCCACCGAACTTCCACAAGCAGGCAAATTTTCCTCCATGTGGTTCTACAATTGATACGCGCAGCTAGATATGAGCGTTTAGCTATATTCACCGTACAGACAAGAACCTCGTTCATATTCCCCCTATCAGGTTCCTATCGTTCACATTTCGAGTTGAGTTTATCACAGATACGCTGACTAAAATAATTATTAATGAAAGAGAGGTATAGGCTATTTATTTTTCGGGGCTGAAAAGTTTTGAGACTACTCTCAAGACACAGTGAAAGTTTAGTCGTTTTCGTTCTGCAGAGACTTCGATACACCGAGCAAGGGCACAATGACAATTTGGTAAGTTAATCTGTAATTCCAAAACGAGAGATTTGTGGCTGAAGTTCTCCAGAGAACCGAATCTGCTGCCGTATTGCATGTACAATACACGTATATATTACATAATTTGTTTGCTGATCTCACCCTATTGATGTAATTTATTCAATGATATGTGATACAAATTACACAAAATATTTTTATTTACATAAATGTCCCTTCAGATACAAAGCAAGACGTTTGACGGTTGAAGGTGTAATATGTATTTGCTACGTATTTGTTTGTTTGTTGTTTAACGCCGCACTCAGCAATATTCCAGCTACATGACAGCGGTCTGTAAATAATCGAGTCTGGATCAGACAATCAAGTGATTGATATCATGAGCAGGGTCCAGAGTCGATTATTTACAGACCGCCGTCAAAAAGCTGGAATATTGCTGAGTGCGGCGTTAAACAACAAACAAACATCATGCCACGGGGTCCTTATGTCCTTAAAAAACAACAACAAAACAAAACAAAACATGACTTCGCCACCACTCTATAGTGTCCACGTGGCATACAGCCGTATGCGCAGAGCTATTGCACAGAACAGGTGATGACGCCTTGGTGGCGAACCAACCGTCACCATGGCAACACGTGAATGACACATCTTAAAATTTGATAGCCTTTGATAAGAATGGCAATGATACAGTTTCCTCCTTGGTACAAAGCTCATGATGACTGAGTACTGTAATGTAAGCAGGTTAAAACGGGTCATGCCATTGTTTTGCCGAGCGTTAATACATTATTAACGAAGTAAACTGTAGTTTGAATACTTTACCACTTGTGTGGTTTGGTCTTGTGGCAAGGGCTCAATAAAAACCTTACCTAACTCTTTTAACTGAGTCGGGCTGTTGAGTCGTGTTGTGGTGGTTGCCATGGTAGCAAGGGGCGCGACCTGGTTGTGTTGGTAGGCGGGGTACGGACGGTTGCTTCTTACGGCCCACGTGTCGGACATCTAAAGGTCATCAGGTGCATATCAAAATCACTTTAGCCGAAATACATCCGTTAACACCTCTTGGGAATTAAGATAACGAGAGGTTTGAGAGGAATATATTGATTCTAAACATTTTCTATAAATATTTTATGCCTGGTAGGTAAACTGAAAAAAATGCGAAATTGAAAATATATATAATTTAAAGATAATTTATATACACTCATTAGCTGCGACACGATACTGGTAGGGTACTCAAAGTAGTATTGACACTTACTGTGTGTAAAGTTTTGCACGATTTGAGCCAATTCAAGAATATATACTGGGAGTTGTGTGAGTTTGTGAATATGATTTTACGTCGCTTTTAGCAATGTTCCAGCAATATTAAACAGGGTGATACAATACATGGGCTTCACACATTGTACTAATGCATATGGGGAATCGAACACGTCTTTGGCGAACGCACTATCCACTGAGCTACCTAACCGTACCAATTAAGTAGTAAGTGGTTCTGTTAACGGCGTTATTACGGGCGGAACCCTTGCCACTGAAATCGTCCGAATTATCAAAGTCCTGTATTAACAAATAGTGCAGACTTACATACGTATTCAGTAAACATGTGGACACTCCCAGCAGCACTCGACCAGAGGGAGGAGTTTCCAGAATAGCGAGGGTTCATTATGTCTTACGTCTGATAAAGTGATGAACATCTCGGGGAGGTTTATTGGGACTGTTTTCCTGCTCCAGCAACAATATGGAAACAATTATCTTAACGTCTTAAACCTACACAAAGATGATTACAGCAATTGCCAAGCCAATCACCAACCACAACCATCACCATCACCTCGCCCCAACAATCACCCTACCAAACCCCGTCCCACCACAACCATCACCCCGCCACAACCATCACCCCGCCAAGCCCCGTGCCACCACAACCATCACCCCGACTACTCCGTTCCGCCACAACCATCACCCCGCTACAACCATCTACCCGACAACCCTGTCCCGCCACAACTAGCACACCGCCACAACTAGCACCCCGCCACAACCATCACCCCACCAAGCCCCGTCCCACCACAACCATCACCCCGCCACAACCATCTACCCGACAACCACGTCCCGCCACAACCATCACAACACCAAGCCCCACCCCACCACAACCATCACCCCGCCACGCCTCACCCCGCCACAACCATCACCCCGACAACCCTGTCCCGCCACAACTATCACCCCGCCACAACCATCACCCCACCATGCCTCGTCCCACCACAACCATCACCTCACCACAACCATCACCCCGCCAAGCTTCACCCCACCACAACCATCACCCCACCACAACCATCACCCCACCACAACCATCACCCCGCCAAGCCTCACCCCGCCACAACCATCACCCCGCCAAGCCTCACCCCACCACAACCATCACCCCACCAAGCCTCACCCCACCACAACCATCACCCCACCAAGCCTCACCCCACCACAGCCATCAACCCGCCAAGCCTCACCCCGCCACAACCATCACCCCGCCAAGCCTCACCCCGCCACAACCATCACCCCGCCAAGCCTCACCCCACCACAACCATCACCCCACCAAGCCTCACCCCACCACAACCATCACCCCGCCAAGCCTCACCCCACCACAGCCATCAACCCGCCAAGCCTCACCCCGCCACAACCATCACCCCGCCAAGCCTCACCCCGCCACAACCATCACCCCACCACAACCATCAACCCGCCAAGCCTCACCCCACCACAACCATCAACCCGCCAAGCCTCACCCCACCACAACCATCACCCCGCCAAGCCTCACCCCACCACAACCATCAACCCGCCAAGCCTCACCCCACCACAACCATCACCCCACCACAACCATCACCCCACCACAACCATCACCCCACCACAACCATCACCCCACCACAACCATCAACCCGCCAAGCCTCACCCCACCACAACCATCACCCCGCCAAGCTTCACCCCACCACAACCATCACCCCACCACAACCATCACCCCACCAAGCCTCACCCCGCCACAACCATCACCCCGCCAAGCCTCACCCCACCACAACCATCACCCCACCAAGCCTCACCCCGCCACAACCATCACCCCACCAAGCCTCACCCCGCCACAACCATCACCCCACCACAACCATCACCCCACCACAACCATCACCCCGCCAAGCCTCACCCCGCCACAACCATCACCCCACCAAGCCTCACCCCGCCACAACCATCACCCCACCAAGCCTTACCCCGCCACAACCATCACCCCACCAAGCCTCACCCCACCACAACCATCACCCCGCCAAGCCTCACCCCACCACAACCATCAACCCGCCAAGCCTCACCCCACCACAACCATCACCCCACCACAACCATCACCCCACCACAACCATCACCCCGCCAAGCCTCACCCCACCACAACCATCAACCCGCCAAGCCTCACCCCACCACAACCATCACCCCGCCAAGCCTTACCCCGCCACAACCATCACCCCACCACAACCATCACCCAACCAAGCCTCACCCCATCACAGCCATCACCCTGCCAAGCCCCACCCCACCACAACCATCGCCCCACGAAGCCACACCCAACCACAACCATCACCCCACCAAGCCTCACCCTACCATCAAGCTCCACCCACCTGGCTCCCTGTACTCTGTGACCCGCTGGACAGGTCACCTCGCCGTAATGACCGCTTCTCCCTCAGACGGCGCAGAGCCTGACGCACCTGGAACAGAAGCAGCATTGTTGATATTGTGAATGTTCTACAGTTGATGAAGGATGATATGTACACTGTGCGTTTCTTTTCTTGAAGAGTGTATGTACGTTAAGAAGTGATGTTTCCAATGTGTACCATTTAATGACAAAATGAACAATCAGTCAAATGTTACCACTGTATCTATTCTTATGACGATATGCTGAATATGATTTCCAAACTTTACACGCTAATCCTGTACGAAACAAATGGTGCATCTCGAGTCATGGATCTATGACGTCACATATGATGCGTTCATGGGCGTCGGGTCACACAACATACCAGTATATTCGTTTGTGCATCATCCTAATCTAATATCTCTTGAATATGAGTAATTCTTCATAATTATATTTACCAACATGTATAGTATTCGCATTTCTTGTGGTGGTGAGTATATATATATATATTGCTCAAATCTTCTTACCTGACAGGTATTTTGAATCCGTGACATTATGTTAACAAATTAACCCTCGCATTGTCTATTTTTTTAGTAACTTTTCCCTGATGAAACGCTAGAGTTGTTGAATGTCACGAAATCGTTCGACAATTTATGTTTTAATAGCTAAGTAACTCTAATATGTTCATGATCATCACCGAATGTGTGTTTTTTCACGCCTTTCCGCCCCCTGTGCTTGTCATGTGTACTTCTGCGTGTCGAACTATACAAGTTTATACATAAGCACAAACATACCTTTCTGCGAGCAGTGAAAGGTCAACTAACAACACAACCACGACAGGAATTGTTTTACAGTTCCCGCCCATTGCGTCTCTTGAGAGCGTGCTTCGTCAATGTTAATGTATACACAGTCCACGTTCGGCCTATTTAGCCAAGAGATGCGCATGGCTTGAAGACACGTGGGGTGTTAGTCACCAGGAATACATGTCAATCTTTGATAATCGGGCACCTGGGGTCTTTGATGTCAAGTTCAATATAAACAACACACTGTATACTATAGACACTGCTATTTGTTTGTTTGTTATTTAACGTCGCACTCAGCAATATTCAAGCTGTGACGGCGGTCTGTAAATAATCGAATCTGAACCAGACAATCCAGTGATTGACATCATGAGCATCGACCCACGCAATTGGGATACGATGACATGCATCAACCAAGTCAGCGAGCCTGACACCCGATCCCGTTAGTCGCCTCTTATGACAAGCATAGTCGCTTTTTTACGGCAAGCATGGGTTGTTGAAGACCTATTCTAATCAGATCTTCACGGGTCACACTGCTATTTACAAAATATGATAAATGATGATAGTGATCACAATACTCGCCTCGCCGTTGAACGCACAGTGAAACATGGCGATGAAGAAGCCCTGAAACAGAATTGCATAAAGCTGACTCAGCAATATTGCATCTATGTTCCCGAGGCAGAAACAGACCATTTTGCAACTAATTAAATTAAAGGAGTAAAGTTGAAACTATAAAAACAAGAGTATTGATTGAGTGTGTAGAGTTTATGCCACTTTTAACAATAATCCACCAAGATGACGACGCAAAAAACGAAGAATGGGCTTCACTCATTGTAGTCACATGAGGAAATAAACTAACGCGCCGAACGAGTGAGTGAGTTGGGTTTAACGCCGCTTTTAACAGTATTCCAGTTATATCGCGGCGTGTCAGCTTAATGTGGGAGGAAAGCCCGAAGTGATGCAGGTCTCAGACGTTTATCACTTCGGTGAAATCCACGAGCACGGGTATGGTGCTGACAAACCTAGAAACATAATCGGGGCGAACCGGGATTCGAACCCACAATCATAGGTTTCTGGCGTGCCCAAGGGACGCAACTCTGCACAGCGAATCGCGGCGCCTTGACGAGTGGGCCACCCGTGCCCCTACACGACGAACGAACACATTACTCGCAAGGCTACCCCGACGCCCGTTTGATATGGGAAACAAGTGTCTGTCAATACATAAAGGTGTCGCGACACATATACAGGCAGGAACCAGTATATATCTGGGACAAGGAAGTGAAGGTTAGGGTTTTGGAAACAATGGTAGCTCGTGTCAGTGAATGAGCATCTTCCCGAGACCAGGGAGTTAACTGACTGAAGAAGTCCCGTTTCCACTCTTGCCGAACTAGGCTGGAACTTTGGAGTAATATTTTGGTTGGACTAACAAGTCTATGCATAGTCCAATCAGAATCGCGTAACGAAATCGATTTCAACATGTGAACGATTTCAACATCGTGAAGGTTGAAAAGGGTAATTATTTTGAGCTGAACAACTTTGTGGTTGTCAAAAGCCAAGGATTCCAGCATTTTACGAGCGCTTCCTGCATTAATACCACCGAAGAGGCAAGGACAGCCCAGTACTATGTGCGTTCGACCGTTAAATTAGCGTGTTCGCACGCTCTCTCTCTCTCTCTCTCTCTCTCTCTCTCTCTCTCTCTCTCTCTCTGTCTCTCTCTCTCTCTCTCTCTCTCTCTCCTTGACCGAGGAGTCGACCTACTTGCAGGGAGTTGAAGATGGCGAAGAGGTATTGGAAGACAACGAGGCGTTGGTTGACGGCAGCCAGCCCGAACACCCACGTGAGTCCGAGGAGGGGTAGAAGAAACAACGCCCCCTTGATGCCGGCCCTGGGGGACAGAAAGAGTATCAGGTGAGACCACGTGAGAACGTAATTTAAAAAAAACACGGCAACACCGCGGGGAGGAGCCATGTTGATCTGGGCCATCTTTATGATGAGGCTCAAGTGATGCGGATCCTGGACATGTACCACGTTGGTGAAACGCACGAGCACGGTGCTGACTTTGACACACCAAGGATCAAAATCAGAGCAATTCGCGGAATAGAACCTTCAAACTTGCATAGCTTCCTTTTTATACGCCAGGCGCAACATCACTCAGCAATCATTTTGAATTTATTTCATCAGAAAATTTAAAGTTTTGTTATGAAATGTGTGACACACACTAACTTCGATTTTTGCCTTTTAACGACCTACCACTCTGGTGAAACCCAAGGCCATGGAGATGGTGTGGATGAAGATAGGAGAGACTCTGGGGCTGAACCAGTTTCTGGGACGTGTGAGGGACGCAACAATACACAGCGAATTGCGGCGTCTATATAAGTATATCAAACCGGAGCTGTCCTTCGAAAAATACCTCTTACGTAACCAAAACATATCTATCCCTCTAACGAACTTTAAAACTTGTAATCATAGATTCCCGGTAGAAACCGGAAGATGGAAAAAAACTTACTGGAGGACGAACTACTCGTATGTACCTCTTTCGAAGTAGCTGATGGATATCCTTATTTATTAAAATGTGAACTCTTTGCTCTCTATAGATCTCGACACATCCCTGAATATCATTCTGAGTTTCCCAGTACCCATAAATTGGTGAGACTATTTTCCATCAAAGGCACTAAACACTTGCGAAATTTATGTAAATTTACCTCTATGCTAATGAATGAGTTCTAAGACCCTTCATCCTGAGGTTAATTTAAACATGCAATGTATGTTTATAATGTCTTAAATTGTTCTATGTATATTTATCTAATGTTAATTATATATTGTACTCTTGTACCACCGTATCTGAATCTTCTGTGCCCCCTTCGGATGGGAAGATGATAAACATGGATGTGGTCACCCTAAAAGCGCAGGTGTAAATATTCAACTTTGTTAATACATTATATAATGACCTCAGACCTTATTAGCCAAAGTTGCGAGATGAGGTTAAAAGTGGACTTTCGAGATGGTATCGATTATTGACTTTTTTGTTTTTTTATGTATCGTTTTTGAAAAATTCATAAGGGTCCGGTTCCCTCTGTCGCTCTCGTGCGTATATATTATTATTCTCAAAGTAGTGTTACAGGATATTACGAGCATGTCGACTGACAAGATGGCGACTGCGTTTAACAGAGAATTCAGTTTCGCTGACAAATCGCCCTTCAGCAACTTTGTGACCTCTATTTTGAGAACATAGATTATCAATGTTCATTTCACCTGATCGATTAAACGCTAACTGATGAAATGGAATTAGACGCAAATCAATCATCCACAAAGAAACCACGGTCATCGAATTCGATTTCATTCGGTCCTCTTAGACGGAATCTTTTGTATCGCAATGTAATGAATTGGCACTGCCCGGGGGTGAAGCCCGTTGACATTATCAGCGGCTTAGGGTGATGGGTGGAGGAGGAGGGGGTGGGACGGAACATTTCACCGACACAGTCATTTCTGTCAGGTTTGAATAACAGAACGCTGAAGACCAGCTCATTCATTAGTCTTCATTCAAAGTAATCTCCATTCAAGAATACCCTCCTTCAAAACTAAACTTGTTTATATCTGCGACTTGGCCAGGGAAGTTAAACGCTTGAATAAATCCCCCTAATGCTCACGATTCTGCAGAACGCAAACACATCAAAACCCCAGTAATACGGACAGTGTCGTTATTTGCGAAAACATTTCCGGGCTAACAGATCATAACTTGGATATTACGAACTCCACGAAAATCAGTTCGTTGTTTTCGTAGTTCGTTACTCGCGAAGCTGGAAAATATCTCCACCACCTTTGATTGAAATGAGACTTGAAAACGTGAACCAAAATATCAAATAGAAATTCAATGTTTATAAACTTACAACAAAAGTTCATTCAATAATGTTAACATTAATTTCGTCAAAATCGTGTGTGAATTGGTCCTTATTCGCCAGGGTTGGGTAACGTACCTTGTGCTGACACGCCCAAACTCTCCGGGTTTGTGTGACGTTCCCTGTAGGACATTGTGATATCCGTCGTGTGTGTGTGTGTGTGTGTGTGCGTGCGTGCGTGCGTGCGTGCGTGCGTGCGTGCGTGCGTGTGTGTGTGTTACCTTGTGGGACATGGTAATATTCGTCGTATGTGTGTGACGTACCTTGTAGGGCATGGTCATACGCGGCAGGTTTGTGTGACGTACCCTCTTGGCACACTATATGGCTATATCATCAGAGTTTGATTGACGTACGTTACAGTAACATGGCACTACTCGCCGGGTGTTTGTGACGTACTTGAGATTGCAATACTCAGTGTCACTGCCCATGTTTGAGTGGCGTACCGCAATATGACGTACGCAGGTTTGTTTACGCAGGTTTGTTTTGCTTTGTCTTTTCTCATAATGCAATGATAATCGTGTTTGTATGACCTATCGTATATATATATATGTTGTGACGTACCTTATGTGGTCATATTCGCCGTGTTTCTCCAGTTTAGACGAGGATATGACGATCCGTATGACGACAGCTAAGATGACCATGTTAACCTGCTCAGAGAAGATGGAGATGAGTGAGTGAGTGAGTAAGCGGGGCTTAAACGCCGCGAACCACGAACCAGCAACATCTTCTACAGTTCAGGGTGTATTTCATATGGCACCGGCCGATACAAAGATTTTTGTTTGTTTGTTTTTAAATGCCGCAATGTTCCAGATATATGACGGCAGACTGGAAATAACAGAGACTGGACCAGACATTCCGGTGACATCACAAGCATCGATGGAAGTAACTGAGATACGATGCCATGTGCCAACCAGGGAGCCCTTTCACGAAAGCCTCTTAGCGCTACGACGTCCTAACACTTGAAGGGCGGTCGGGTAGCCTAGTGGTTAAAGTGTTCGCTCGTCACGCCGAAGACCCGGGTTCGATTCCCGACATGGGTACAATGTGTGAAGCCCATTTCTGGTGTCCCCCGCCGTGATATTGCTGGAATATTGCTGGAATATTGCTAAAAGCGGCGTAAAACTATACTCACTCACTCCTAACACTTGTACACGGACAGGTAGAACGTTGGGTCGGCCGAGAGTAGTCCGAGCTGACCCGATCAACCAGCTGTAGGGTGGTATGCCGAGGAAAGCGATACCTGGCAATCAGTTCTGTGTCGGTCAAAGTATCCAACACTTGAGTCCTATCCCTGATCAATATTCGCTCTTCACTAATGTTTCTACTGTTCAAAATGTCTTTAATTCTCATTAGTGTCGCCATATCAAACTGTGACTTAGGATGTCGTAATTTAGTTACGAGTGCTCCTGCCTGTCGTAGGTCAAGAGAGTGTTACGATGGGGTGTAAAGTTAGGAGGTCTTTGTAAAACGGCACAAAATATTTAAGAGGTGGCTTACGACGTGGTTTAGGAGGTCGTAGCGCTAAGAGGCTTTCGTGAAACGGCATCAGAGAGACTGATCCCGCGATCCCGCTAGTCGCCTCTTAAGACAAGCATGGGTTGCTGAAGACCAGTGTGTGATAAGAGTTGCCATATGATATAGCAATTATCTCAGCTCATACTCAAAGTGAATCTTCAAGAGCCCAACTTAAAGGACGTGTAATGACCAATTTAAATGACGGCATGATGACTGACTCACTATTATGATAGCCAGGGCGGGTCCAACGAATGTCCAGATGGTTTTTCTACTTGTGGACAACCAGCAGCTGGGAACATCGACACATGTACAAGAAACTCATTGTATGCATGAAATAGAGGTATGTAACCTGAATAAAAAGACAAGCACCCCTTACTGTATATTTTCATATAAGCTAGCCTTTTTTCAAATCGTATCCTGTTTGATTTTCTGACGAAAACATTAAATTAGTTGTTTCTTGTTTACAAAGTGAGTGAGTTTGGTTTTACGGTTTGGTTTTAGAAATATTCCAGCAATATCACGGCGGGGGACACCAGAAATGGGCTTCACACATTGGACCTATGTCGGGAATCGAACCCGGGTTTCGGCGTGACGAGCGAACGCTTTAACCACTAGGCTACCCGACCGCCCGTGTTTCCAAAGTGACAAACTCTTACTGAAAACAGAAGCCGAATCCATTACTAAAGGACATGTTTGGCAACCGTTTCCAGATTTATTTGACAACCCTTTAAATTGCTTCCGATCCTTATTCTTGAATAGTGTAAATGAATCTGTATAAACGTACACAGAACAGTAATCATAGTTTCCATCGGGGGGTCTATGGCGTCTTTAGATATTTCCAAAGGATACATGAAAGTTAGATAATATGAAACAAGGAAGTGATGCTTTGCTTAAAAACGTTTTTTTCCAGGGTATAATATTTGCGTCTCAGTAGCATGAACTTTAACGTACAATTCGTTTTAAATAATTTGGCAATTTCCTCGATGTTTACATGGAATACACACAGACAACAGGTTGTATAGAGAGCATGTTGTACGGAAAAGGAATTTGTTTTCGGCCACTGCTTAACACACACACGCACGCACGCACGCACGCACGCACGCACGCACGCACGCACGCACACACGCACACAATCATATGCGCGCGCACAGACGCACGCAGAGACGCACGCACGCACACACACATTCACACACGCACGAATATAAAACGGTCGGTCCCCAACAAGAGTCCTAGTCTTTGGTACAAACTACATACAACCTCGCGACGTGAGATCGATCTAATTATTGATACACTACCACTGCGACACTAGAATATTACCATGTGAAAAAAAAAGTTTTTCAAAGAAATAGTTTGTAGTTTAAAATGAAACAAAAACAAAAACAATATTTATCTCAAACAAAACGTTACCGCAAAATACTGTATCGGCTCCAATGCACTGTTTCAGATTTAGGTATACATTGTTTTCGATTTCTAATATTATATATTCCCGCAAACCGCATGTACCCTGCCAGTAGAAGTACGTATTAATACAACAATGTGCCAAGAAGACCCACCTGTGTTCTGTTCCGTACCCCTCCCAGTCTGCTGCGGCCGAGATCGTCACCAGAATCACGGGAACACCTGCACAGTGAGTTGTGCCGTTAAATACCAGATCAGGGTCAACAATTCAGAGCTCCAGATAAACTGCGTATCTGCGTAAAATACGCATCAGAAATGCAGAAATACGCAGTAAAATAAAATCCAAGCGTATCAAATACGCAACGAACATTACAGATACGCTACAAAAATATAACTTGTGCGTATCATCAAAATATTGTGAAGTAACCCTGCGTATTCGATTAGCAAATCAGCAACTTATTTTGAAATTATAAACGGGCATTCCGTCAACCTTGCCAAACTCCACGATGACAGTTACATCATGATCATTTGCCATCACACTTTCTTGTGGAAGTATCGTGGTAATTTTGAGTCCTATAAAGCTCTCGAACCCACACGAAACCAGTTTGCAGGGACTAGATGAATAGTGTTTTAAAATATTTAACTTAAATACCCACATGTGTAAAAACTAGTGGGTAACAGAAATTTGAATACCCAGATAGAATTACTGATGCCCAATGATTTTAAAATGCATGGGTAAAATACCCACAACACCAAAACCTTATCTGGAGCTCTGACAATACTAAAATATATAATTGCTTTTCAACTTGTATTAAATAGAACACGTCCCATTTTAGTTCTGGAAACTGATTTGTCCAGTAACTCGCTGTACTGTGGTCGGTCTCTGTCAAATGTATTTACAAACTTCCACATGCTGTGGTCATGGGTACATACTTAGAGGAAGGAGAAACGAAAAGTAAAGCACTTTTAAAATTCAAATAATTATACATTTTCATTGATTGTCAAACATACTTGGCTACCGTATATAAGTTCTTGTAGCAAATCAATTTATCAACCATCTTACACCTGCAAACGGAACACCTGAGCTTGTTTAGCTTCTCAAACCCTCAACCATCTTACATCTGTATGAATCACATGAGTATGTCAGAAATATATGGTTGTTCGACTTACAAAATGCAGTCGTTTCCGCTGTACGAAGTAAGCATGACAAGCGGACATAAAATCCTTCGATGGCTTCGCCCACGTGGTCAAAGGGAGATAACTAATGTATTTATTTTTCTTTACCGATGAAAACATTATTCATATACAGTAATACTCCCTCAATCGATACCATTGTCACCATTTGATAATTTATCGAACAAGAATACGTATTTCTTATGCAATAAAATGTCGAACCATTTCAAAATGTGTCGAGATCAAATTCCGGTCATGGTGACCTCGCCACCACTCCTCGCTCCACGTGGTACTTTTAGGCCTCGCTCGATATACTGGCTTCTAGGATAGGATTAAGGCAGCTTGGTAGGTTAACGCATATATTGTATTACCTAAATCAAAATTACAGTAGGGGTAATTGCTCAATATTCAAACAGAAGCCCCTCAAATCGAACACTTGTAATAACATTGTTAATTTGCACACGTTTCCTCAGTTGTCAGGATGGCCGAGTGGTCTAAGGCGCCAGACTCAAGGCATTGCCTTCCTCGCTGCGAGGTATGGGTGTTCTGGTCCACGAATGTGGGCGTGGGTTCAAATCCCACTTCTGACACAAACTTTTTATATTTTTATTTTTACGTCAATTGGACAGTGAAGGTAACTGATATTTGTATTTTTTTATATTTGTAAACAGTGTATATAATTTAGCTTTTTAAGCTATGTTCATCGTGCCATTACTTTGTCTTAAAAAAATCATATTAATGTGTTCTGGGAACGACACATAAGATTAACGTATTATTTGTAAATTAGGTATTCGTATTTAGATATTTGTGTATTTGATTTGCTGTCACTACGTGCGTTCCCTTATTAAGATATGGGCGGCCTGAGTTAACCGAGGTTACCACATTTCTGTGTGTGCGTGTACGTTTGTGCGTGTGTGTGCTAGAGAGAAAATATATTTTCATTTAAATCTAAAGTATATTTCTCAACAATCTTAAGTTAAGTTCCCATGACAAATGTCAGAATACATATATGCTATAGGTCAGTCGAAGTATGACGTAAATCAGTTCACATGTAATAAATTAATCTTGGTCATCCTGGATTTTGAAATTGAACGCAAGCACTAAATATCGGGGTCAAATTGTCTCTCTGATATCCCTGGAAAGCGCCCCATTTGAGACCTTAATATATTTATTTTATGAAGCTAGAAAAAGACAATAATTATGAAATCGTTGACAGATCCGTATCAAATTGCTGCTTCTTTGAACTCGCAGTCAACGGCGGGTACAGAGGGGTTCCAAATATTTAAATTGTTAGTATGGTCTCGATCTTTGTATGTACAAGTTTTGTGATCGACTTATCAAATCCTGCACTTGTCAGGAGATTGGTCACGGTTGAGTGACTTGGGTAATTACGGCCTCCGGAAAATGCCGAAGGTTTACGAGGTTTTGCACACAAAGGGGCATAACTCGTGTATTTATATTTAGAAAAAATACTAAATCTAATATATTTCTAAAACTTCAAGTGTAATTTAATCATTACTATAACCACAATATAAAATATCTTAACATATACACTTATGCTTAGAACAAGGAACGTCCAGTTCAACGACTGCCAAAACAATATGATAATATCATATCATGTAAATATTTGTCACCGTTCATTTGCTAATTTACAGTTTAAGTTCACGCATATACCACTTACACGATACGTTTTCATTCTTGTTACAAGTTATTCTTTTTAATTTATCCTGTGGGTTCTCACCGGAACCCGAATTTCAATGCCAAGATCAGATCGTGATTAATTGCATGCTTGTCATGGAGTGTTTAATCGTTCTGGTAAGTGCAGGTTCTCCGATGGTTGACCATGCACTCAAAGGGTAACCGTGTGTTGTCACTGGTTAAAGTGTTACGCCTAATTCACGGGTTTAGTTTCCCACACGGGTAGCATGTGTATACGTATTACTGTGACCCATGAAGAATTAGGGAGAATAGGTCTTCAGCAACCCATGCTTGCTGTAAAAGGAGTCTATGCTTCCTGTAAGACTTGCTGACTTGGTTGATGCGTGTTAAATTATCTCAATTGCGTGGATCGATGTTCATGATATCGATCACTGGATTGCCTGGCCCAGTCTGTTTACAGACCGCCGTCATATGGCTGGAATACTGCGGCGTTAAAAAAGATGTATTACTGTAGACCACTTCATGTGACTCCGGCTGGAATAGTGCTAAGTGGCATACAATCTGACCAACTCACCGACATTACCAAATAACTAACTGGCAAGTGATTCCATGGAGGTAAAAATGAATGTAAGTATGCCCACTTCGGGATTTACATACGTCTATACTTACATACATGTAAAATGATATCGAAGTCACCTCTTAAACCACCAAACCACCAAACCCGTGAAGATGCGGGTGAGTATTAATCTTACAAACTCATGCTTGTCGTAAGGAGGCGACTTGCGGGATCGGGTGGTCAGGCTCGGCGACATGGTTGATGCATGTCATCGTGTCTCAATTGCGTAGATCGATGCTCATGATGTCAATCACTGGGTTGTCTGGTCCAGACTCGAGTATTTACAGACCGATGTCATATGGCTTTAATACTGCTGAGTGCGACGTTAAACAACAAACAAACAATCACACTTAAACACCACCATCCTGCCATCACCTACCACCTCCCATCACCATCCACCATCCTACTACCACCTGCACCGACCCACCCATTTCATCACCAACTACCCTTGTAAACATCACTATCCACCCGATCAACAAACACCAACCATTTGTCGGTCAACCAACAGACACCCACCTCCCATCACCAACAACCCTTGTAAACATCACTATCCACCCGATCAACAAACACCAACCATTTGTCGGTCAACCAACAGACACCCACCTCCCATCACCAACTACCCTTGTAAACATCACTATCCACCCGATTAACAAACACCAACCATTTGTCGGTCAACCAACAGACACCCACCTCCCATCACCAACTACCCTTGTAAACATCACTATCAACCCGATCAACAAACACCAACCATTTGTCGGTCAACTAACAGACACCCACCTCCCATCACCAACTACCCTTGTAAACATCACTATCCACCCGATCAACAAACACCAACCATTTGTCGGTCAACCAACAGACACCCACCTCCCATCACCAACTACCCTTGTAAACATCACTATCCACCCGATCAATAAACACCAACCATTTGTCGGTCAACCAACAGACACCCACCTGCCATCACCAACTACCCTTGTAAACATCACTATCCACCCGATCAACAAACACCAACCATTTGTCGGTCAACCAACAGACACCCACCTCCCATCACCAACTACCCTTGTAAACATCACTATCCACCCGATCAATAAACACCAACCATTTGTCGGTCAACCAACAGACACCCACCTGCCATCACCAACTACCCTTGTAAACATCACTATCCACCCGATTAACAAACACCAACCATTTGTCGGTCAACCAACAGACACCCACCTGCCATCACCAACTACCCTTGTAAACATCACTATCCACCCGATCAATAAACACCAACCATTTGTCAGTCAACAAACAGACACCCACCTCCCATCACCAACTACCCTTGTAAACATCACTATCCACCCGATCAATAAACACCAACCATTTGTCGGTCAACCAACAGACACCCACCTCCCATCACCAACTACCCTTGTAAACATCACTATCCACCCGATCAATAAACACCAACCATTTGTCGGTCAACCAACAGACACCCACCTCCCATCACCAACTACCCTTGTAAACATCACTATCCACCCGATCAATAAACACCAACCATTTGTCGGTCAACCAACAGACACCCACCTCCCATCACCAACTACCCTTGTAAACATCACTATCCACCCGATCAATAAACACCAACCATTTGTCGGTCAACCAACAGACACCCACCTCCCATCACCAATTACCCTTGTAAACATCACTATCCACCCGATCAATAAACACCAACCATTTGTCAGTCAACCAACAGACACCCACCTCCCATCACCAACTACCCTTGTAAACATCACTATCCACCCGATCAATAAACACCAACCATTTGTCGGTCAACCAACAGACACCCACCTCCCATCACCAACTACCCTTGTAAACATCACTATCCACCCGATCAATAAACACCAACCATTTGTCGGTCAACCAACAGACACCCACCTCCCATCACCAACTACCCTTGTAAACATCACTATCCACCCGATCAATAAACACCAACCATTTGTCGGTCAACCAACAGACACCCACCTCCCATCACCAATTACCCTTGTAAACATCACTATCCACCCGATCAATAAACACCAACCATTTGTCAGTCAACCAACAGACACCCACCTCCCATCACCAATTACCCTTGTAAACATCACTATCCACCCGATCAATAAACACCAACCATTTGTCGGTCAACCAACAGACACCCACCTCCCATCACCAACTACCCTTTACTTGTCCACCCCAACTCTGTCCGCCATTGTTATTTGATGTTTCCTTAGTGACCACAATATGAAAGGCATTGTCACCTACATATACCACATGTAATGTAGTCTTATTGGAATACGCATCGCTAACCACAGTAAGAATAGTTACAGATTATGTAAATGTTCTGCACTAATTAATCGTTATTTAGTTGTTCAGCACTATTCCCGTGCTCGTCTTCCACTGCATAGTGTTTAACGTCTAAGACATGTGTCACTTTGAGCTCTCCTACCACATGGAGCTGACACGTCGTGATATAAAAAGAACGTTGCGCAAAGCGGCATAAAACTCCCTCACCACCCGACACAGACAAGTTGAGAGTGTCCTACCCCCTCCGACATAGACAAGCTGAGTGTCCTAACCCACCCGACACAGACAAGCTGAGAGTGTCCTACCCCATCCGACACAGATAAGCTGAGAGTGTCCTACCCCACCCGACACAGATAAGCTGAGAGTGGCCTACCCAATCCGACATAGACAAGCTGAGCGTCCTACCCCTCCCGACACAGACAAGCTGAGAGTGTCCTACCCCACCCGACACAGATAAGCTGAGAGTGTCCTACCCCATCCGACATAGACAAGCTGAGTGTCCTACCCCACCCGACACAGACAAGCTGAGAGTGTCCTACCCAATCCGACATAGACAAGCTGAGTGTCCTACCCCTCCCGACACAGACAAGCTGAGAGTGTCCTACCCCACCCGACACAGATAAGCTGAGAGTGTCCAACCCCACCCGACACAGATAAGCTGAGAGTGTCCTACCCAATCCGACATAGACAAGCTGAGTGTCCTACCCCTCCCGACACAGACAAGCTGAGAGTGTCCTACCCCACCCGACACAGATAAGCTGAGAGTGTCCTACCCCACCCGACACGGATAAGCTGAGAGTGTCCTACCCCATCCGACATAGACAAGCTGAGTGTCCTACCCCTCCCGACACAGACAAGCTGAGAGTGTCCTACCCCACCCGACACAGATAAGCTGAGAGTGTCCTACCCCACCCGACACAGATAAGCTGAGAGTGTCCTACCCCTCCCGACACAGGCAAGCTGAGAGTGTCCTACCTCTCCCGACACAGACAAACTGAGATTGTCTTATATCTCTCCCGACACAGTCTCCTACCCCTCTCGACACAGGCAAGCTGAGAGTGTCCTACCCCACCCGACACAGACAAACTGAGAGTGTCCTATACCTCTCCCGACACAGTCTCCTACCCCACCCGACACAGTCAAACTGAGTCTCCTACCCCTCCCGACACAGGCAAGCTGAGAGTGTCCTATACCTCTCCCGACAGACAAACTGAGAGTGTCATATATCTCTCCCGACAGACAAATTGAGAGTGTCCTATATCTCTCCCGACACAGTCTCCTACCCCACCCGACACAGTCAAACTGAAAGTCTCCTACCCCACCCGACACAGACAAACTGAGAGTGTCCTATATCTCTCCCGACACAGTCTCCTACCCCACCCGACACAGTCAAACTGAGTCTCCTACCCCTCCCGACACAGGCAAGCTGAGAGTGTCCTATACCTCCCTCGACACAGACAAGCTGAGAGTGTCCTATATCTCTCCCGACACAGTCTCCTACCCCACCCGACACAGTCAAACTGAAAGTCTCCTACCCCACCCGACACAGACAAACTGAGAGTGTCCTATACCTCTCCCGACACAGTCTCCTACCCCACCCGACACAGTCAAACTGAGTGTCCTACCCCACCCGACACAGACAAACTGAGAGTGTCCTATGTCTCTCCCGACACAGTCTCCTACCCCACCCGACACAGTCAAACTGAAAGTCTCCTACCCCACCCGACACAGACAAACTGAGAGTGTCCTATACCTCTCCCGACACAGTCTCCTACCCCACCCGACACAGCCAAACTGAGTCTCCTACCCCTCCCGACACAGGCAAGCTGAGAGTGTCCTATACCTCCCTCGACACAGACAAGCTGAGAGTGTTCACCCCTCCCGACATAGATAAGCTGAGAGTCTCCTACCCCTCCCGACACAGACAAGCTGAGAGTGTCCTACCCCTCCCGACACAGACAAGCTGAGAGTGTTCACCCCTCCCGACACAGACAAGCTGAGAGTGTCCTACCCCATCCGACATAGGCAAGCTGAGAGTGTCCTACCCCATCCGAAGGTCATGTAGTAGATCATGCGGGAGCGCTCCGTGCCGAACACCTGGACCACCTTGCTGTAGAGATGCAGCCCCTCCACCAGCATCCAGACGAACACGGCGGTGTAGCAGTAGTGTAGCACCAGCGCCACCGCCGCACACACCAGCTGTTGGCGACATCACAGTGTTAGACATGTAGTGAGTGAGTGAGTGAGTGAGTGAGTGAGTGAGTTTCAATGTAACGTCGCATCCGCATATGACGACGAGAACAACGTATAGAATAACAAAAAAACACACCACGTAACCCAATTTATATTAAAAGGCAATCTATCAATCATGATTTAGCAAAGCATTAATATTTGTAATTGTTAAATAGATAGTGACAATTAAAATCAGGTTAAAAAAGCCGTTATGACAGAACTGCTTTCACTTCGCCCGAACGGAGATAAGTAATAAAATATATATTGAATTTGGAAACTATGACAGCATTACTGTCACTTGCTAATTTGCTAAGATGACCAGACTCTTAAATCATTTGCAAATAATTAAATAGCAATTGTTTCATCGCATTTGATCAGCTTAAATGCGTCAAATAAAGCTATGTTTCACGTTTAGTTATGCCGACCATTGCTGTAACAATGGATGCATGCGCCAAATGAAGCAGTGTTTCACATTTAGTTATACCACCACTGTGTTGTAACAATGGATGCATGCGCCAAATGAAGCAGTGTTTCACATTTAGTTATACCGACCCTTACTGTAACAATGGATGCATGCGCCAAATGAAGCAGTGTTTCACGTTTAGTTATGCCGACCATTGCTGTAACAATGGATGCATGCGCCAAATGAAGCAGTGTTTCACATTTAGTTATGCCGACCATTGCTGTAACAATGGATGCATGCGCCAAATGAAGCAGTGTTTCACGTTTAGTTATACCACCACTGTGTTGTAACAATGGATGCATGCGCCAAATGAAGCAGTGTTTCACGTTTAGTTATGCCTACCCTGTGCTGTAACAATGGATGCATGCGCCAAATGAAGCAGTGTTTCACATTTAGTTATACCACCACTGTGTTGTAACAATGGATGCATGCGCCAAATGAAGCAGTGTTTCACGTATAATTATACCTACCCTGTGTTGTACGGCGTCGATGCCCGCCAGGAAGGTGACCTGAGCGCACACAATGGCGATACACAAGTTCCGATGAACATACATGTACACTCGTTCAGTGTTCAGTGATCTGGAATAAAAAGTGAAAATATTCTGTTCAACACATATTGCAATTTGTTTGTCTGAACCACAAGAACTAGACTAACATCTAGTCTCTGAAATGAACATATCGTACAGAAAAAAGCAGCTGTTCAACTCTCTTTATGAAAATATAATAAATGGGAGCCCAGAGACTCTCTTTATTTTCCTGATACTGCAGAAATCTAGACTTGCTAAACATTATAGACTTGCGTGGGCTGTATTTGATATATATTTGTATCAGGTCTGACTACAGAAGAACTTGAAAGGTCCATGTCCGTCTTGAAAAATGACTTCGACGTCTAGTTGAACGAAATATGATGGAAATTAAATGACGAGCACTATTCTTTATCATTCTGTATCACGAATTCGCTTAATGAAGAAAGAAAAAAACGACGGTCCATTTTACGAACAGGTTGGTTTAGTTTTGTATTTCGCGCATATTCTGACAGTCCTCACGCTGATTATCTGTACCCTTTCTCCTCATACCGATTGTCATATCTCTCCCACTTTGGGATGCGTACGTTCGACCACTGGTTGTATCTGCGTAACAACTAAAGGGAACAACTTACTAGATACTTCCCTCTCAAATATAACATCGTCCAGTATATGACGTAATCAAGTTGCCAGCGCATATTCGAATCTCCAACAAAGACACATCAATTTGTGAAATTGGCAATAATGCCTGCTGCGTGACTGATTGCGTTTAATCATATTAACAAATGTCTTTACTGACAAGTGTGTCTGTGGCAGTAAACAAATCAACCAAAGAAGCATTATCTATGACAGGGTTTGTGCAGTAACATGGAACAAGTGGAGTGTATTACCTGGAGTATATACGTGATGTATACCTTGGTTCTTAGGCGTCCCTTTGGTACACCAGAAACCTATGATTGTGGGTTCGAATCCCGGTTCGCCCCGATTATGTTTCTAGGTTTGTCAGCACCATACCCGTGCTCGTGGGTTTCACCGAAGTGGTAAATGTCTGAGACCTGCATCACTTCGGGCTTTCCTCCCACATTATAACGCCGCGATATAACTGTAATACTGTTAAAAGCGGCGCTAAACCCAACTCACTCACTCTTAGGTGTTATTCGGGATATTTAATTCAGCCTTTAGCAGTTTTAGACACCAACTACTCTTTTATTTTCACATGCTGCTTTGTTATTCCGAAATATCAAACTTAGACGTGTGAGAGCAGCATGGACATGCACGACACTTACCCCACGAACGTGTAGACGGTGATGGCGAACACCTGAGTGATGAGAGCCACACTGCAGCCGATGTACGTGATCACCTCTAGAGCTAGCTTGTCACTAGCGGCTAGCTGCAACATACACAGGTTAACAGTTATGTCCCCTACATCACGACCAAAGTTATGTGCCAATCTCCCTACTGTAGAGAGTCTTTATGGACTTTTATAGACTGTCACTCCCAGATGTTCCCAAACAACATTATCACGTTATTGTAAAGTAGACTACACGCCCTTACTGGGGTTTATTGGAAATGTTTGGGACATACCTGAATGGAGGGGCGGTGGGGTAGCCCCAGTGGTTAAAGCGTTCGCTCGTCACCTCGAAGACCCGGGTTCGATTCCCGACATGGGTACAATGTGTGAAGCAGATTTCTGGAGTCCCCCGCCGTGATATTGCTGGATTATTGCCAAAAGCGGCGTAAAACCATACTCACTCACTCACTCACCTGAATGGAAAATAAATGCGGTCAATATCTACTCTAGATCTGTAAAGCAGTGGAGAAGGGAAAGGCGGGTACTGGGGTAGGGTTTGATGGTTTGATACCCCGGGGGCTAATGAATAAATTGCGAGTTGACAAGTTAAAGCCAGTTGTCTGGTGCTTGTTGTGTGTCGAAGAGTCACAGTTGGCTCTACAGTTTCTATATGTAACACTTGGCCAAGTCAATTTGGCCGCCTCCCTGGTGTAGTGGATGTAGGGGAGCGAAGAGAGCGGACTGGCAGTGGTTCGATCCCTGGCCGCGTCATACCAGAAAACGTTAAGAGATGGTAGTTGTTGTTACCTTGCCTGACACAGCATTAAAGGGACAAAACACTGACTGGATGGCTCGGAGTCAGTATACTATGTCTGAGTGGGGTGTATATGTTAAACTACGACATTGTATCTCAGTGGGCTAGCACTATAAAACCGGCATAGGGCCGGACTAGTACTAGCAGCCACACACAGGTCGCTGTATAAGCACAACATCTTGACGTGACGTTGAACCCAATTTCACCCTCACCTTATTCTCACAGAGATATTTGTCAACTAACAGAAGCATAGTATAATCTACCTCCTTGTCACTGCGAGGGTGTGTGTGTGTGTGGGGGGGGGGGGGGGGGGGGGGGGGGTTGCGTTAAGATATGACCTTATAACAAATAACAAACTATAGTAATTCCATTATATTACCATGGAAATCAGAAACATTGCTCCATTACATCAGCTTCAAATATTGTGGCAAAGGGAGATATCTTTCGCACCTCAAAGTCATTAATCTGCATCAGAATGGCAAAGTTGGTGGTGTGGTTGCAGTAACACTGTGACGTCAAGTTGTTTGATGACGTCATAGTGCATCCATATGTCGACCATGCTCTTGTATTAGGAATATGAAAAATAGGATATAAATATATTATATATTCAATATAGAAATAGTTTATCTGTAGATTTAACCGAGGAAAATTGAATTTGGATCCCGCGATATGGAAACAACAACAAAAAGCCTTTAAGCAATATTTTAACATACTAATACTTTTACTTGCATATATGCCAGACAATGAATAATTGATAATGGTAATGCTAATGGTAATGCAAAAAGATATATGACATCACAGTCTGCGATGAATTTCAAGCTCTCTGATGTCCCCAAAAGGCGATGAATTTCAAGTTCTCTGTTGTCCCCAAAACTTGCATTACACCGTTCAGCCGTTTTCTAATGTGTCAATATGTACGTACACCGCTCAGCCGTTTTCTAATGTGTCAATATGTACGTACATGTGTAATGTGTAGTGTAATACATGTGTAATGTACGTACAGACGATGCACAAGTCCACACCTGCCTGTCGCTATATGGCTGAAATAATGCCGATGTGACCTTACATTTTAACTCACTAACCCCACACCTACCTGGAACTGTTATCCCAGAACACACACTGCATGGGGTGCCCACCCTCCTCCATCTCTAGTACACGGAACTGTTGTCAAGGAAACATAGTCAACCGTTTTGTTATATCCGGAACCAGTTACTGTTTCCAAAAAAGATTTTCACAAGAAAATACAAAAATCCGATGTAAGTTAGATTCCTCGTCACTGGTTTGTTCCAAAGGCACGGAGTCCTTGTTTTAAATTATTTTTTGTTGAGGCAGTTGTTTTTTATTGTTTCAGATGTTAGCCGTTTATTCTGATTGTAATTAATTATGTCATGAGTGAGTGAGTTGGGTTTAAGGCCGCTTTGAACAATATTCCAGTCATATCACGGCGTGTAAGCTTAAATGTTGGGAGGAAAGCCCGACGTGATGCAGGTCTCAGACATTTACCACTTTGGTGAAACCCACGAGAACGGGTATGGTGCTGACAAACCTAGAAACATGAAATCCTGTAATGACATATATATATTTTAGAGTGTAGCACTCTCACACAAGATATGAATAATATACATGTGCAATTTCTCGTTATTTCAGTCATTTTCTCGAAAATTTGTTGAATGATAGCCCTGGAAATGTGAAGATTCGACCGCAAAGAACCGGGGTCGGAGATCGACTGCGAATTATCATTTTTCATATTGCTGTTTGGCTTATCTACGCCTCTTGTTCTACCGCTCCTAATCTGAATGTTTTTGATATGGCCCCTGCTATCAAGAATGAGTGAGTGGGTTTACGCCGCTTTTAACAGTATTCTAGTTATATCGCGGCGTTGCTATCAAGATGTCACACAACAGCGTATTGTTCCTGATAGATTTGAGAAGTAGGCGCACACTATTTTGTGATTTCATGAGGAACATTCAGGCCGAGACTCGAAACTTACAAAATTTATTCACTCGGGACACGTTATCCGTAATGCTTTGCCCTTAATATTACGCAAGCTTAATGGTGCCTTTTTGGTAGCATTAATTTTTTTAAATCGAATTTTCTCCTTATTTCAACTTTTTCTCGAAATTTCGAGTTCTTTTTCGTTACTTCGTTTATTTTCTCGCTATTTCAGTCACTTTCTCGAAGTTTCGGAATAACGAGAAAATAATCGAAGAAAAGAGAAAAAACTCGTAATGTCGTTTTTGAAATAAACTTGAAATAACGAGAAAATGATAGAAGTAACGAGAGAAAAATTGGAAGCAACGAGGGCGGTCGGGTAGACAAGTGGTTAAAGCATTCGCTCGTCAAGCCGAAAACCCGGGTCCGATTCCCGACATGGGTTCAATATGTGAAGCCCATTTCGGGTGTCCCTCGCCGTGATATTGCTGGAATATTGCTAAAAGCGGCGTAAAACCATACTCACTCACACAAATCACTCGAAGCAACGAGAAAATAGTTGAAATAACGAGAAATTTAAAAAATAATTAATGCTACCAAAGTGCCGCCATTAGGCTTTCGTACAATATGACAACTCGTCACTGAAACATACGATACGATTAATGCTTCTTACCTGATCTCCGCTTTTCGTGTGAAGGAGGTTGAACGTATGAGTAAGACTGACATGTCGCTCCCTGCTGTAGGCGGTCAGAGACAACACGGGGCTCAGCACCAACCCGCTGTCGTTGCTATTACAACACATTCCCATGTAACATGAAATGTTTTAGTATATTTATAATTGTTGTGCTTCATTATATAGTTTTTACCACTGACTCAATTAAGACTTTCTTAATAGGTCTCTCGTCCACTACATGTTTCTCAAAGTGATGAAAAATCCAAATATTGATATGACATTGCGTAATGTAACTGAGTGAGGATTTCCAAATGTGTGTGTGTGCGTGCGTGTGCGTGTGTGTGCGTGCGTGTGCGTGCGTGTGCGTGCGTGTGCGTGCGTGTGGTGCGCTGGCTGTAACAATGGTTAGCCAGTGAGATATAACAAAGGCCATGTTACCTGATGCATTGATCCATGGTGTGTTCTGTCACACCTTAAATTATTTAAGAAATAAACGACTCGTGGTCGTTGTTTATCGTACAATAAAACACTGCAGGGAGAATAAACCATGGGGGGGCGCAGTGTTTTATTGTACGAAAAACAAAAATAAAACACTAAAAAATAAAACAACAGAGAGGATAAACAAAGCACGCTTCATTTTTCATTGATTTTTGCGATTTATTGCTTAGCTATCTTATATACTAGAATAAGAACTGATATGTTTTGTTTGTTTAACGCCGCATTCAGCAATAGTCCAGCTATATGACGGCGGTCTGTAAATAATCGAGTCTGGATTGAAAATCCAGTGATTGACATCATGAGCATCGATCCACGCAATTGGGATACGATGACATGCATCAACCAAGTCAGCGAGCCTGACCACCCTATACCGTTAGTCGTCTCTTACGACAAGCATAGTCACCGTTTACGGCAAACATGGATTGCTGAAGACCTATTCTAACCCGGATCTTCACGGGTCACAACTGATTGTTAAATATCCTCTCGATAATTCTACAACTGATATTTAATAATTTAAGGAAAACCTACTTCTGGTGGCAGATGCGTGTGTTTGTGATGGTGGTGTTGGTTTAACGTGACAACGCCGCACCCTACCTGTCTACGAGCGCCACCTGCAGCACTGGCACCTTCATCAGCACGATAGCGACGACGACATCTACAACATGTGTAACAGCATTGGTTATATTATCAACGGCGGAAGATATGAAATAGTTTGTGTATATTTATCTGCTGTATGGACGTGACGCCATCATCAACGAACCCAGCAACAGTTCAGCAATATCAGGACGTCTTGTACAAACTCGAGTCTTCACTAGACAATCCAGTGATTGATATTATGAGCAACACCCAATGCCGTCGGTGTACGATGAAACAAGGGGTCAAAACTCAATCATTTCCATCATAAAGCTGGAAGAGTACCACGTGTGGTGATTAACAACAACAAAACTATACCTTTGATATCATTTATCGCAATTATTTAGGACCTGTGCTCGTGAGTTGGTAAACGTCAAAGTCCTGCATCACTTCGGGCTTTTCTCCCACATTAAGCTGACACGCCGTGGTATAAGTGGAATACTGTTCAAAGCGGCGTTAAACCCAACTCACTCACTCAGCTGCTTTAATCAGTGGGGCGTTTATGGTGTGACTGGATACGTCTTCGCATATGTTCCAAAATCAGGGTGATGGTTCATTTCGATAATGTGTGAAGAATACTTACCGTCGTTGAATGACGTATTAAGCGGTGCTGTCGGGCGGATGTGTGTTATGTTTCCGAGACCATTCTTGTCACGGTAGTGGAAGTGCTTCATCATTTTTCTTGGTATACGCTTAATTAGTATTTCTGAAATCAAACTTACGTTCTGCGTGTTAATTCTTTTTATGCTTTTCTTGTTTTGCTTGTAAGTAAACGAGTTTTATTTCTTTTGGTAGGCAGTCGAAATCTAAATGTCAATCAGGCCCTTCAAAAGTGACAGGATTTAAAAAAATAAGTTCAAATTCTGTATATTTCATTTAGGATTATCAGTGATTTACTTGACACACTATGAAAGACACACTGCTTGGACTTCTGGTGACTATGTTTCTGCAGCGTCTGTACATGAAACAGCAGGTAGCTCACCAATATGCGAATACGTCCTGCTGATGACGTCACTCAGGGGCAGGTGTTGGATGTTTCTGTTCAGGAACACCTCCACAATAGATATGACGTCACACAGGCTCTGCAGTGTTAATGTCAAACTTCAGCACAAAACGAGAAGAAACTAAATATATGTATATGTACGTACCGTTCTATGTTGTATTTACTTGTATGGGAGAAGGTTACATGGCTTATGTTGCATTAACGCACAGGCGAGATTGGTACGTGAGCAACGCCGCACCATGTGGAATCCACCGCAAAATACAACCCTCCATGTTGTATCTCCAAAATATACGTGTTACAGACGCGCGGTTCACGCCCCTCCATGCTGTATCTCCCACAATATACGTGTTACAGGTGCGCGGTTTAAGCCTCACCATGTTGTATATACCACAATATACGTGTTACAGGTGCGCGGTTTAAGCCTCACCATGTTGTATATACCACAATATACGTGTGTTACAGGTGCGCGGTTATACGCCTTACCATGTTGTATCTACCACAATATACGCGTTACAGGTGCGCGGTTCACGCCTCACCATGTTGTATCTACCACAATATACGTGTTACAGGTGCGCGGTTCACGCCCCTCCATGCTGTATCTACCACAATATACGTGTGTTACAGGTGCGCGGTTCACGCCTCACCATGTTGTATCTACCACAATGTACGTGTGTTACAGGTGCACGGTTCACGCCCCTCCATGTTGTATCTACCACAATATACGCGTTACAGGTGCGCGGTTCACGCCTCACCATGTTGTATCTACCACAATATACGTGTTACAGGTGCGCGGTTCACGCCCCTCCATGCTGTATCTACCACAATATACGTGTGTTACAGGTGCGCGGTTCACGCCTCACCATGTTGTATCTACCACAATGTACGTGTGTTACAGGTGCACGGTTCACGCCCCTCCATGTTGTATCTACCACAATATACGTGTTACAGGTGCGCGGTTCACGCCTCACCATGTTGTATCTACCACAATATACGTGTGTTACAAGTGCGCGGTTATACGCCTTACCATGTTGTATCTACCACAATATACGTTTTACAGGTGCGCGGTTCACGCCCCTCCATGTTGTATCTACCACAATATACGTGTTACAGGTGCACGGTTCACGCCCCTCCATGCTGTATCTACCACAATATACGTGTTACAGACGCGCGGTTCACACCCCTCCATGCTGTATCTACCACAATATACGTGTAACAGGTGCGCGGTTCACGCCCCTCCATGTTGTATCTACCACAATATACGTGTTACAGGTGAGCGGTTCACGCCCCTCCATGTTGTATCTACCACAATATACGTGTTACAAGTGCGCGGTTCATGCCCCCTCCATTTTGTATCTACCACAATATACGTGTTACAGGTGCGCGGTTCATGCCCCTACATGTTGTATCTACCACAATATACGTGTTACAGGTGAGCGGTTCACGCCCCTCCATGTTGTATCTACCACAATATACGTGTTACAGGTGCACGGTTCACGCCCCTCCATGCTGTATCTACCACAATATACGTGTTACAGACGCGCGGTTCACACCCCTCCATGCTGTATCTACCACAATATACGTGTTACAGGTGCACGGTTCACGCCCCTCCATGCTGTATCTACCACAATATACGTGTTACAGACGCGCGGTTCACACCCCTCCATGCTGTATCTACCACAATATACGTGTAACAGGTGCGCGGTTCACGCCCCTCCATGTTGTATCTACCACAATATACGTGTTACAGGTGAGCGGTTCACGCCCCTCCATGTTGTATCTACCACAATATACGTGTTACAAGTGCGCGGTTCATGCCCCCTCCATTTTGTATCTACCACAATATACGTGTTACAGGTGCGCGGTTCATGCCCCTACATGTTGTATCTACCACAATATACGTGTTACAGGTGAGCGGTTCACGCCCCTCCATGTTGTATCTACCACAATATACGTGTTACAGGTGCACGGTTCACGCCCCTCCATGCTGTATCTACCACAATATACGTGTTACAGACGCGCGGTTCACACCCCTCCATGCTGTATCTACCACAATATACGTGTTACAGACGCGCGGTTCACACCCCTCCATGCTGTATCTACCACAATATACGTGTTACAGACGCGCGGTTCACACCCCTCCATGTTGTATCTACCACAATATACGTGTTACAGACGCGCGGTTCACGCCCCTCCATGCTGTATCTACAACAATATACGTGTTACAGGTGCGCGGTTTAAGCCTCACCATGTTGTATCTACCACAATATACGTGTTACAGACGCGCGGTTCACACCCCTCCATGCTGTATCTACCACAATATATGTGTTACAGACGCGGGTTCACGCCCCTCCATGTTGTATCTACCACAATATACGTGTTACAGGTGCGCGGTTCACGCCCCTCTATGTTGCACCTACCACAATATACGCGTTACAGGTGCGCGGTTCACGCCGCTTCATGTTGTATCTACCACAATATACGTGTTACAGGTGCGCGGTTCACGCCTCTCCATGTTGTGTCTACCACAATATACGTGTTACAGCTGCGCGGTTCACGCCCCTCCATGTTGTATCTACCACAATATACGTGTGTTACAGGTGCACGGTTCACGCCCCTCCATGTTGTATCTACCACAATATACGTGTTACAAGTGCGCGGTTCACGCCCCTCCATGTTGTATCTACCACAATATACGTGTTACAGGTGCACGGTTCACGCCCCTCCATGTTGTATCTCCCACAATATACGTGTTACAGGTGCGCGGTTCACGCCCCTCCATGTTGTATCTACCACAATATACGTGTTACAGGTGCGCGGTTGACGCCCCTCCATGTTGTATCTACCACAATATACGTGTTACAGGTGCGCGGTTCACGCCCCTCCATGTTGTATATACCACAATATACGTGTTACAAGTGCGCGGTTCACGCCCCTCCATGTTGTATCTCCCACAATATACGTGTTACAGGTGCGCGATTCACGCCCCTCCATGTTTTATCTCCCACAATATACGTGTTACAGGTGCGCGGTTCACGCCCCTCCATGTTGTATCTCCTACAATATACGTGTTACAGGTGCGCGGTTCAGTTCACACCCCTCCATGTTGTATCTACCACAATATACGTGTTACAGGTGCGCGGTTCACGCCCCTCCATGTTGTATCTACCACAATATACGTGTAACAGGTGCGCGGTTACACGCCTTACCATGTTTTATCTACCACAATATACGTGTTACAGGTGCACGGTTCACACCCCTCCATGTTGTATCTACCACAATATACGTGTTACAGGTGCGCGGTTACACGCCTTACCATGTTGTATCTACCACAATATACGTGTTACAGGTGCACGGTTTAAGCCTCACCATGTTGTATTTATTCCAGTGCTGACTGTAGCTGCCCTCGATGAAAAAGTTTAGTATCCGGAAGAAGTTCTGAAGAAAGATAAAAATGAATCAGTAAAACAAAGGAACGCCTTATATCAGTTGAAGTAATTCAACCATACTGACAGGGAAATATTAGTGCTATGTTTGTCTAGTTGAAAATCTGTAAACGGTCCAAAAAGAAAACCTTGCGAATTGTATTCCAGTATCAGGGTTTGGAATCCAGAAGCGGCGGATCCTGCTCCAGCTAATGGACGTAACTCAGTAACTTGCCGGGGTCTTATGCACAGCACAGCGTAACCAGGTGAACACTAACCTCGAAGTTTGTCTTTGTTTGCTGCGAGTGAGATATTGTCATGGAAATACGCAGATCACGGAAAAGCCTGAGCAATGCATGGTATGTCACTTTCGGTTTCAGATCGCCATCTTGAATATGAACCAAAAGACAATCCAAAGGCTGATCCGATTCGCTGCACTGAAATACACAGACATGATTATTTTGGGACTGACCATGCAATACACACTAGGACCGACGGTGGCAAGCAGTATTTAGGGGCATCATGATGGCGGATGCGTTGATGCATGTCCAGTCCAGAGGAACACAGAGATCGGGAGGTGAAGTGAGGTTAAATGGGTATTGTTGAACGGATATTAATAATGTCGTTTATTGTGCCTCAAAGTGAACTTGACCAATCAGAGAGCAGAACTACTGACCCCACACGAGCCCGTATACCGTCAGTAAAAATCCAAGATGGTAGTTACTGACCTAATATCAGACCGTATACCATCAGTAACAGCCATCTTGGATTTTACAACGCCCACCTCACATATTTCATATGAAAAATCTGGTGCAGAAATTCGTTATTCGACACTGTTTTGCGTTTTAATATAATTAATTTTGATGTGCAAGGACGTTTATATTTTTTTTATATCACGTTCGTGACTTTAATAAAGATTATATAAAGTTAAACTTATCAACAAGGTTTGGCCTCTGAGGCTTTGAAGAGTAGTCTCCCTTTGACCCCAAAGATACCGAAATATCTGAGTGTAAACCTTTCGGCATGATAAATTCGTTTTGGTGTCTTTAGTTGCCGTACACGGTGTCATATTAGGTTAGCAAAATATATGATACCGTATACGGCAACCAAAGACACCATAACTAATGATATATGGCACAGCAGCTAGTATTATTAATGTCAAACATTACAGCTACATTGTTCCCAATATAATGTACTTAATTTGTTTTTGAAAAGCATGACTGACTTCACCATATTTCAATGACTTCATGATATCAAATACCCACCAGTGCTAAACCTTCATTTTGATCAAAATGTATGTTCCCCTGGAAAGCCGGACTCAGGAAAGTCGAAGACACTCTTCTCTTGGGTGTCATCGTGGACTGCATCCTATTTACATGTGTAGCTGATGGTGTTCCAGTAGGCGAAGTTGAATGTAGTGCAGTTGTTGCTGCTGAAAAAGTGTTAGTTGTGGTTAATGTTTGAGCATGCGCAACAGCTTGGGTAGATGTAACCGGGTTATGAGACGCAGCGATGCACCTTGGGTACGGCGGCGGGCAGGCGAAGATGAGGCGCGAGGAGGTAACGCAGCTGAGTGATGCCCCGTTAAAACAGCATGCTTGAGCGTGCACGTGTAAGCTGTCGGGGTGACAGTGTCTTGTTCTACGGATGCGGACATGCGCAGGTAACAACAGGTGAATGTGCGCAGGTAGCCGACGGCGTTTCCGCGAACGAGGGCGCATCTGCAGCTCTGAAATAATAAAGTTTGCAGTGTTCTAACTATGAAGAACTGTTTGGGTAACATCAGCATAGTAGTATATCAACATACACAATCCAAGTCAGTCATTATTTACTCAAAGTGTTGCCCCGTGGAATTCCGGATTGGAATTGGTCCCCAGCAACCTATGCTGGTGGTAAGACGTGATTTGATTGGTCGGGTGGTCGGGCTTGGTTCATGACGTTTCATTGGGTCGTTGCTCGTAATTTCAATCACTGGATTGACTGGTCCAGATTATGTTATATACGGGCCGTACGTCACGGAGCTGGAACATTGCTGCGGCATTTAAGAACATGCAGTCAAGGTGTATTTCCATACACCCATGCTGTGTAATTAATTGGCTGCGTTATTGGTATCTCTTGCCTCAAACTATAATCGCAATAACAATATTTTCAAACAATGTTTATAATCATAAATGGTCTGCTTTAATCCATCGTTTGTGTGTACAATAAAATACTGTCTGTTTCTGAAGTGTTAACTGTTTTATTTTAACAAACAAGCTCATGATACATTAGGATTCAGGCTCTAGTTGGTGTATCTTTAGTATTGGGGCACTGGGTATTTTTCTTTGGCGCCGCTGTGTAGAGTTGCTCCCCTTAGGCGTACTGTCTTACACCTGTTGACAAAACTCCTGGCATATGTAGCTTCTCAAACACGTATCCACTACAGTCTGTAATTATATACATAAGGCGGGGTGTACAGCGTTACGTCCCTTTGAAGTGCCAGGAACCTATGATAGTATTTTAGAATTTCAGAGTGACTCATTATGTTTCTTGCTTTGGCAGTTAATTAGATCCTAACTTGTGGATTTGATGCAGATATGCATTACTTTGGGATTCCCTCCCACATTCAGCTGACACGCCATGAACTAACAGAAATATTATTCTAAATGGCGTTAGTCCCAAATCACTCACTCATTCACCTTATGTGAGAACAGGGACCGTTTAAAGAATCTATAACTGTCAAGAACGAGGTTTATTTAACTTTATACTCACGGGGCTGGTGTGGCTTGTGTGTCGTACCAGAAGTCACCGTGATGACACTAACGACGTCGGGAGTGGTGGTATGTTGTGTCACGTGATGTGTCTGTGGATGCGCAGTAGTCATGGTCATGTGAGTGGGCAACGTCAGCGCGTTGGGATACCTAGCTGACGTCGGGTTTCCGGTGACAGTGATGGCTGACGTCGGGTTTCCGGTGACAGTGATGGCTGACGTCGGATTTCCGGTGGCAGTGGTGGATAACGTCGGGTTTCCGGTGACAGTGATGGTTGAAGTAGTAGAGGATGAAGAAGCTAGTTGAGCTGGTGGTGGTGGTGTATCAGTTGTTTTCGTCGCGGCAGTGCCTTGTGTGATAGTAGGTGTGTACGACGATGTATGCTGTGATGTAGCAGCTGTGTGTTTTGTTGTCTTGTTGTCTGTAGGATAAAGGCTCCACGTTAATTACATTTGAATGTGTTAGACTTGATGAATCTAATTCTTACTTCATATGGCATTTCTGGCTCGTATTTTCAAAGTACACGTTCATCACGTCTAACATGACAAAGTTGACATTTTCCAGAGTTGCACAACTCGACAAAACAACAAATTTGTATTGAGATTCCTCCTGATATTATTTTGAGTGAGTGAGTATGGTTTTACGCCGCTTTTAGCAATATTCCAGCAACATCACCAGAAATGGGCTTCACACATTGTACCCATGTCGGGAATCGAACCCGGGCCTTCGGCGTGACGAGCAAACGCTTTAACCACTAGGCTATCCGACCGCCCCTATATTATTTTGAACGCCATATTGCCATTAAAGTGCCACAGCGCAGTTTCGACGACAGGGGTGTGTAGTAATAAAATTAACATTTGATATGACTTGATCAATAATGGGTCGGCCCGGGAAAATCCAGGGTAGGATAGGTCTTCAGCAACCCATGTTTGCTGTAAAAGGCGACTAGAGGCAACTAACGGGATCGGGTGGTCAGGCTCGTTGACTTGGTTGATGCATGTCATCGATCCCAATTGCGTGGATCGATGCTCATGATATCAATCACTGGATTGTCTGGTCTAGACTCGATTATTTACAGACCGCCGTCATATAGCCGGAATATTGCTGAGTGCGGCGTTAAACAACAACAACAACAACAACAAACAAACAAACAATAATGAGTCATGCTCTCCGAGTGGTCAAACATTCGTTGATACGGCGTGGTATAGTCCGAATCCATCTCCAAATGGCAATTTGAAGGAGCCTTGACACCGGCGAACACTACTGGGGAAAGGACTCATGGCTGGTGATTGCATTATGGTGATGTTTTGCTGATGGAGGTTGTCAGCTCCCATACGTACACGGTGGGCACGAGCGTTATCGTCTTGACACGCGGACCAGCATGGCGCACAATCGGAACACCTATTGGCGCCAGTATGTTGCCTCGGTGGCACTGTCCAGTGGCCCTTTCATGGACAGTATGCAGTGGCGTCCTGGCAGTCATAGTGATCTCGCCCCATGTCATTTCAGACCCACCCCAAATCCGCCATGTTGTTTTACGTTGACGTTCGCATGACGTACGTTAGGACGCGTTCAGACTTAACATATCCGGAAAGTCTAAAACATTACACAGGCGATTGCCCCAGTTTCTTCGCTCTAAACACCATTGGTGTCTTGCTAGAATGTGTCAACGGTGGTAAAACACGTGATAATATGAACTTCGGAGGCTCCAAGTGAACAGCAACAGCTGTTTGGGTTCGATGTCTTAAAGTATGCTTTCTGATAATCGATTTTGGACTTTTGTTGTTGACCTCAGGCGCCCTGTGCAGGTCCTATTATTAACTGTGTCTGCAGAAACCTGTTCCAAAGTCTGCAAATCACAGACTGAGACACATTGAACATATTGGCTACCCCTCGCAGTTTGAAGCATGCCAGCAGCGCTTTATACGTTCATCACGGTGTATACGACGCATTCCCAATCTGATTACAAATACTGCTTTAAAGCAAGAGGTGAGAGCCTATGTGTGGATTCTGACCACAATACCAATGGTACCGAGCGATTGACGGCTTATACTGAATGACCCCTACCCACGTGCACGGGGGAACTGTATTTTCCACGTGCAATGTTTCAGATGTGTTGAAGCGTCAGGTTTTGGTTCTCTGACGACGATCATAACATTTTTATTTCATGACTACCTACTTTTTTTAAAAAAGTATACATAAAGTATTTTATCATCTCCTTATTCCACAGTGCCATTCAAGCGCTTTGTCTGCAGTAACGCTATGCTGTTAGATACAGTTACAACAGTCGTTACTGCTTCAGGTGTTGTGCCCTGTTTACCTTCACGGACAGTTCGCTCACAGATGAAGGGCTTGGAGTAAGTACAGTCATCCAGCCCCCACTCCAGGCTCCCGTGGTCTGCTAGCTGCACACATCCGCAGTACACACCCGTCTTTCTGGAACACAAGACAAGGTTTACCTCCCCAACAACACGCCCGTAACCTCTCCCATAACACGTCCTATACCCCCCCCCCCCCCCCACGACACGCCCTATATCCCCCATAACACGTCCTATATCTCCCATAACACGCCTGTAACCTCCCCCATAACACGTCCTATATCTCCCATAACACGCCTGTAACCTCCCCCATAACACGTCGCACATCTCCCATAACACGCCCGTAACCTCTCCCATAACACGTCCTATACCCCCCCCCCCCCACGACACGCCCTATATCCCCCACGACACGCCCTATATCCCCCATAACACGTCCCATATCTCCCATAACACGCCCGTAACCTCTCCCATAACACGGCCTATACCTCCCCCACGACACGCCCTATATCCCCCATAACACGTCCCATATCTCCCATAACACGCCCGTAACCTCCCCCATAACACGTCCCATATCTCCCATAACACGCCCGTAACCTCTCCCATAACACGTCCTATACCCCCCCCCCCCCCCACGACACGCCCTATATCCCCCACGACACGCCCTATATCCCCCATAACACGTCCCATATCTCCCATAACACGCCCGTAACCTCTCCCATAACACGGCCTATACCTCCCCCACGACACGCCCTATATCCCCCATAACACGTCCCATATCTCCCATAACACGCCCGTAACCTCTCCCATAACACGTCCTATACCCCCCCCCCCCCCCATGACACGCCCTATATCCCCCATAACACGTCCTATATCTATATCTCCCATAACACGCCCGTAACCTCCCCCATAACACGTCCTATATCTCCCATAACACGCCCGTAACCTCCCCTATAACACGTCCTATATCTCCCATAACACGCCCGTAACCTCCCCCATAACACGTCCCATATCTCCCATAACACGCCCGTAACCTCTCCCATAACACGTCCTATACCCCCCCCCCCCCCCCCCCCCCCCATGACACGCCCTATATCCCCCATAACACGTCCTATATCTATATCTCCCATAACACGCCCGTAACCTCCCCCATAACACGTCCCATATCTCCCATAACACGCCCGTAACCTCCCCCATAACACGTCCTATATCTCCCCATAACACGTCCTATATCTCCCCACACAACATGTCCTATAGCCAAGGTTCAGATGAATGCCAATAGCCAGGTAAATATTGAGGCAAGGAACCACATTTGTTGAGAAATATTTTTTGCCCGATATATTTATATCAACCTCAACACGTGTGCAGACGTGCAGTCATCTGAAACAATCAAGCATGATAGGATCATCATGGAGTCTGTTTATGTCGTCCATCTATCTACACTTCGAATCATATTGGAGTTGACGTACCCGGGACTCGCTCCATCAAGGATCGGGAACCGGGTGGAGTCGGTTTCTCTGATGCCATCCAGCCAGATTGGGTCAGATAAAGGCGGTCTTAACTGGATCCCCACCCAGTAGGAGACGTGAGGACTGAAATGATGGAATAGTTATCAGGAATAAGGGCACGTGAACACTCGAAGCCAGCGGGTATTATATAACATAGAGGTAGAAAACTCGGAGTCCGTTTTCCATCTGTTCAAGATATAACGGCAGATGACTAAAATACCCCGAATGTGCAGATTCGGATTCTGTACATTACCTTACATTATAATGTTTAACATTCTACCTGTACATGTATCTGAAGATAATAGTATCAGCCCCTACCTGTGTCTGATGATTTTAGTATCAGCCCCTACCTGTGAGTCCGTTTTCCATCTGTTCAAGATATAACGGCAGATGACTAAAATACCCCGAATGTGCAGATTCGGATTCTGTACATTACCTTACATTATAATGTTTAACATTCTACCTGTACATGTATCTGAAGATAATAGTATCAGCCCCTACCTGTGTCTGATGATTTTAGTATCAGCCCCTACCTGTGAGTCCGTTTTCCATCTGTTCAAGATATAACGGCAGATGACTAAAATACCCCGAATGTGCAGATTCGGATTCTGTACATTACCTTACATTATAATGTTTAACATTCTACCTGTACATGTATCTGAAGATAATAGTATCAGCCCCTACCTGTGTCTGATGATTTTAGTATCAGCCCCTACCTGTGTGTAGATTATAGTATCAGCCCCTACCTGTGTGTAGATTATAGTATCAGCCCCTACCTGTGTGTAGATTATAGTATCAGCCCCTACCTGTGTGTAGATTATAGTATCAGCCCCTACCTGTGTGTAGATTATAGTATCAGCCCCTACCTGTGTCTGATGATTATAGTATCAGCCCTTACCTGTGTGTAGATTATAGTATCAGCCCCTAACTGTGTGTAGATTATAGTATCAGCTCCTACCTGTGTCTGATGATTATAGTATCAGTCCCTACCTGTGTGTAGATTATAGTATCAGCCCCTACCTGTTTGGATAATATAGTATCAACCCCTACTGTGTGTAGATTATAGTATCAGTCCCTACCTGTGTGTAGATTATAGTATCAGCCCCTACCTGTGTGGATAATATAGTATCAACCCCTACCTGTGTGTACATTATAGTATCAGCCCCTACCTGTGTGTTGATTATAGTATCAGCTCCTACCTGTGTGTAGATTATAGTACCAGCCCCAACCTGTGTGTAGGTTATAGTATCATCCCCTACCTGTGTGTAGATTATAGTATCAGCCTCTACCTGTGTGTAGATTATAGTATCAGCCCCTACCTGTGTCTGATGATTATAGTATCAGCCCTTACCTGTGTGTACATTATACTATCAGCCCCTACCTGTGTGGAGGTTATAGTATCAGCCCCTACCTGTGTGTAGATTATAGTATCAGCCTCTACCTGTGTGTAGATTATAGTACCAGCCTCTACCTGTGTCTGATGATTATAGTATCAGCCCTTACCTGTGTGTAGATTATAGTATCAGCCCCTACCTGTGTAGATTATAGTATCAGCTCCTACCTGTGAGTAGATTATAGCATCAGCCTCTACCTGTGTGTAGATTATAGTATCAGCCCCTACCTGTGTGTAGATTATAGTATCAGCCCCTACCTGTGTGTAGATTATAGTATCAGCTCCTACCTGTGTCTGATGATTATAGTATCAGCCCTTACCTGTGTGTAGATTATAGTATCAGCCCCTACCTGTGTGTAGATTATAGTATCAGCCCCTCCCTGTGTGTAGATTATAGTATCAGCCCCTACCTGTGTGTAGATTATAGTATCAGCCCCTACCTGTGTCTGATGATTAGAGTATCAGCTCCTACCTGTGTCTGATGATTATAGTGTCAGCCCTTACCTGTGTGTAGATTATAGTATCAGCCCCTACCTGTGTGTAGATTATAGTATCAGCCTCTACCTGTGTGTAGATTATAGTATCAGCCCATACCTGTGTCTGATGATTATAGTATCAGCCCCTACCTGTGTGTAGATTATAGTATCAGCCCCTACCTGTGTGTAGATTATAGTATCAGCCCCTACCTGTGTGTAGATTATAGTATCAGCCCCTACCTGTGTGTAGATTATAGTATCAGCCCCTACCTGTGTAGATTATAGTATCAGCCCCTTACTGTGTAGATTATAGTATCAGCCTCTACCTGTGTGTAGATTATAGCATCAGCCCCTACCTGTGTGTAGATTATAGTATCAGCCCCTACCTGTGTGTAGATTATAGTATCAGCCCCTACCTGTGTGGAGATTATAGTATCAGCCTCTACCTGTGTGTAGATTATAGTATCAGCCCCTACCTGTGTGTAGATTATAGTATCAGCCTCTACCTGTGTGTAGATTATAGCATCAGCCCCTACCTGTGTGTAGATTATAGTATCAGCTCCTACCTGTGTCTGATGATTATAGTATCAGCCTCTACCTGTGTGTAGATTATAGTATCAGCCCCTACCTGTGTAGATTATAGTATCAGCCCCTTACTGTGTAGATTATAGTATCAGCCTCTACCTGTGTGTAGATTATAGCATCAGCCCCTACCTGTGTGTAGATTATAGTATCAGCCCCTACCTGTGTGTAGATTATAGTATCAGCCCCTACCTGTGTGGAGATTATAGTATCAGCCTCTACCTGTGTGTAGATTATAGTATCAGCCCCTACCTGTGTGTAGATTATAGTATCAGCCTCTACCTGTGTGTAGATTATAGCATCAGCCCCTACCTGTGTGTAGATTATAGTATCAGCCTCTACCTGTGTGTAGATTATAGTATCAGCCCCTACCTGTGTGTAGATTATAGTATCAGCCCCTACCTGTGTCTGATGATTATAGTATCAGCTTCCACCTGTGTAGATTGTAGTATCAGCTCCTACCTGTGTGTAGATTATAGTATCAGCTCCTACCTGTGTGTAGATTATAGTGTCATCCCCTACTGTGTGTAGATTATAGTATCAACCCCTACCTGTGTCTGATGATTAGAGTATCAGCTCCTAACTGTGTCTGATGATTATAGTATCAGCCTCTACCTGTATGGAGATTATAGTATCAGCCCTTACCTGTGTGGAGATTATAGTATCAGCCCCTACCTGTGTGGAGATTATAGTATCAGCCCTACCGCAGCTTTGCCTTCAGTATAGAGGCCTCCGATGGGTTGGAGAAGGAGGCGAGGTCGGTTTGGAACTTGTGACATGTCTCTCTTGTGTCGGGCCAGGAGCCGTCGGCATATCTGACCCAGAGGCAGTGGTGCCAGTCGTGTAGGGCGCGGCAGTCTACATACGTGGTCGGAAGGCATAGTTAGGTACTGAGGTAAAGATGTACAGTTAGCTATCGGTACATATTGACAGATACCTTGGTTACCCGACTTCAGACACTCTTGTCAAATATCTTGTGGATGGGGGTTGGCTTTTTAAACCGTGCGATATTCGGACTGATACTACTGGAATATTTCAAAAGCCACGTTAAACAACAGCCATGCTCACTCACACCATATCTTACAATCACAAAATACACATACAGGTCCCTTAATACTAACTGTTAACTTTGATACACATCTATCCTGCTTTAAAGCAATAGGGATGTGTCTACGGAGTGCCAAGGGAAAAGTCATAGACTTATCCCAAACATTTACTCCCCCGTAGTGTCTGCAGTAAAGTGGGGGCACGGGTGGCCCAGTCGTCTAAGGCGCCGCGATTCGCTGTGCAGAGTTGCGTCCCTTGGGCACGCCAGAAACCTATGGTTGTGGGTTCGAATCCCGGTTCGCCCCGATTATGTTTCTAGGTTTGTCAGCACCGTACCCGTGCTCGTGGGTTTCATCGAAGTGGTAAGCGTCTGAGACCTGCATCACTTCGGGCTTTCCTCCCACATTAAGCTGACACGCCGTGATATAACTGGAATACTGTTAAAAGCGGCGTTAAACCGAACTCACTCATTCACTCACACGTCATAAAGGTGTGATGACCCAGTTATGAAATAAGCAACGATCCACGCAGACGAGGTACGTGGGCAGTCAATCAACCCAGCCACCGAGCCATACAACCCAATCGATTTGCATTGCTCGCAGTTTGCGATCAGCACATCACATTTAAACTCCACGGGGTTGTAACTATGAAACGTGTGGAACGGGCGAACGCTTTAACGAATAGGCTTCTCCACCGGTAAGAGTTTCTTTCTTGTTTAACGCCGCACTCGGCAATATTCCAGCTCTATGACGGCGATCTGTACATAATCGAGTCTGGACCCGACAATCCAGTGATTGACATCATGAGCATCCATCTACGCAACTGTGATACGATGACATGCATCAAGTGTGGGTTGCTGGAGACGGGTAACGCCGGTAAGCATGTACACATATGCATTGTGAAACAACATGTGCATCAACACGTTGGTCATATGATATGATGCACTTACGTACTTTGTTCAATATCAAAATACAAAAAACGTTTCAAAATAATCTATGTTAATGTCAATTCCAGATGATAGAGTTTTGGCTGACTACCACATTCCATTTTTCAAGAAATCAGTCCGCGGTTGAGCAAAACGTTCTATCAGCCTTGTCAACGATATTGTGGTTACAGTCCCGGTCGTACCTGTCGTTGCTGCAGTGACGAAGCTAGGATTTATCAGCGCCATCATCAACATGATCTGAAATTTAAAAGAAATTCTTGTCGTTACGACAATGTATAATTGCTCGCCTAGACCACAAGTACCTGGTTGATTGTCTCTAAACACAAGCGTTGACAGCTTGTCGCACAGGGGCCTGTAACACACGGGCTGCTTGCCTATACTATACCATAAGAGTTGATAGCCTACATCACACTCGCTGCTGCCTTTACCATAAGACTTGATAGCCTGTTAACATGGACTGCTTGCCTATACTATACCATAAGAGTTGATAGCCTACATCACACTCGCTGCTGCCTTTACCATAAGACTTGATAGCCTGTTAACATGGACTGCTTGCCTATACTATACCATAAGAGTTGATAGCCTACATCACACTCGCTGCTGCCTTTACCATAAGACTTGATAGCCTGTTAACATGGACTGCTTGCCTATACTATACCATAAGAGTTGATAGCCTACATCACACTCGCTGCTGCCTTTACCATAAGACTTGATAGCCTGTTAACATGGACTGCTTGCCTATACTATACCATAAGAGTTGATAGCCTACATCACACTCGCTGCTGCCTTTACCATAAGACTTGATAGCCTGTTAACATGGACTGCTTGCCTATACTATACCATAAGAGTTGATAGCCTACATCACACTCGCTGCTGCCTTTACCATAAGACTTGATAGCCTGTTAACATGGACTGCTTGCCTATACTATACCATAAGAGTTGATAGCCTACATCACAGGCGCTGCCGCCTTTAACCATAAGACTTGATAGCCCGTTAACATGGACTGCTTGCCTATACTATAGCAGTTGACAACGTATCACATTGAGCTGTTCGTGAGGGGGGGGGGGGGGGAGATAGAAAGATGATATTTCACTCGACACATGAAATATCCTCTATGTAGTAACCGGACACAATAACCTGATATAATAAACTGACATAAGACCTGACATAAGATCTGTCATTATGACTTGACACAACCGGACACAATAACCTGACACATAATCTGGCACAATAATTGGCACAATAACAAGACACAATAACAAGAAATAACAACAAGGCACAATAACAAGACACAATAACAAGAAACAATAACAATGCACAATAACAAGACACAACAACAAGACACAATAAAAAGACACAATAACAAGACACAATAACAATGCACAATAACAATGCACAATAACAAGACACAACAACAAGACACAATAACAAGACACAATAACAATGCACAATAACGAGACACAATAACAAGACACAATAACAAGGAACAATAACGAGACACAATAACAAGGAACAATAACAAGACACAATAACAAGGAACAATAACAAGGCACAATAACAAGGCACAATAACAAGGCACAATAACAAGGAACAATAACAAGGCACAATAACAAGGCACAATAACAATGCACAATAAAAAGACACAATAACAAGACACAATAACAATGCACAATAACAATGCACAATAACAAGACACAACAACAAGACACAATAACAAGACACAATAACCAGGAACAATAACGAGACACAATAACAAGACACAATAACAAGGAACAATAACGAGACACAATAACAAGGAACAATAACAAGACACAATAACAAGGAACAATAACAAGGCACAATAACAAGGCACAATAACAAGGCACAATAACAAGGAACAATAACAAGGCACAATAACAAGACACAATAACAAGGAACAATAACAAGGCACAATAACAAGGCACAATAACAAGGCACAATAACAAGGAACAATAACAAGACACAATAACAAGACACAATAACAAGGCACAATAACAAGACACAATAACAAGGAACAATAACAAGGCACAATAACAAGGCACAATAACAAGGCACAATGACAAGACACAATAACAAGACACAATAATAAGGCACAATAACAAGGAACAATAACAAGACACAATAACAAGACACAATAACAAGGCACAATAACAAGGCACAATAACAAGGAACAATAACAAGGCACAATAACAAGGCACAATAACAAGGCACAATAACAAGACACAATAACGAGACACAATAACAAGGCACAATAACAAGGCACAATTAAAATACACAATAACAAGACACAATAACAAGGAACAATAACGAGACACAATAACAAGGAACAATAACAAGACACAATAACAAGGCACAATAACAAGGCACAATAACAAGGCACAATAACAAGCCACAATTAAAATACACAATAACAAGACACAATAACAAGGAACAATAACGAGACACAATAACAAGGAACAATAACAAGACACAATAACAAGGAACAATAACAAGGCACAATAACAAGGCACAATAACAAGGCACAATAACAAGACACAATAACAAGGCACAATAACAAGACACAATAACAAGGAACAATAACAAGGCACAATAACAAGGCACAATAACAAGGCACAATCACAAGGCACAATAACAAGGCACAATAACAAGGAACAATAACAAGGAACAATAACGAGACACAATAACAAGGAACAATAACAAGACACAATAACAAGGCACAATAACAAGCCACAATTAAAATACACAATAACAAGACACAATAACAAGGAACAATAACGAGACACAATAACAAGGAACAATAACAAGACACAATAACAAGGAACAATAACAAGGCACAATAACAAGGCACAATAACAAGGCACAATAACAAGACACAATAACAAGGCACAATAACAAGACACAATAACAAGGAACAATAACAAGGCACAATAACAAGGCACAATAACAAGGCACAATCACAAGGCACAATAACAAGGCACAATAACAAGGAACAATAACAAGGAACAATAACGAGACACAATAACAAGGAACAATAACAAGACACAATAACAAGGCACAATAACAAGGCACAATAACACGGCACAATAACAAGACACAATAACAAGGCACAATAACAAGACACAATAACAAGGAACAATAACAAGACACAATAACAAGGAACAATAACAAGAAACAATAACAAGGCACAATAACAAGACACAATAACAAGGCACAATAACAAGGCACAATAACAAGGCACAATAACAAGGCACAATAACAAGACACAATAACAAGGCACAATAACAAGGCACAATAACAAGACACAATAACAAGGCACAATAACAAGGAACAATAACAAGACACAATAACAAGGCACAATAACAAGGAACAATAACAAGGCACAATAACAAGGCACAATAACAAGACACAATAACAAGGCACAATAACAAGGCACAATTAAAATACACAATAACAAGGCACAATAACAATGCACAATAACGAGACACAATAACAAGACACAATAACAAGGCACAATAACAAGGCACAATAACAAGGCACAATTAAAATACACAATAACAAGGCACAATAACAATGCACAATAACGAGACACAATAACAAGGAACAATAACGAGACACAATTACAAGACACAATAACAAGGCACAATAACAAGGCACAATAACAAGGCACAATAACAAGACACAATAACAAGGCACAATAACAAGGCACAATAACAAGACACAATAACAAGACACAATAACAAGGAACAATAACGAGACACAATAACAAGGAACAATAACAAGACACAATAACAAGGCACAATAACGAGACATAATAACAAGACACAATAACAAGACACAATAACAAGGCACAATAACAAGACACAATAACAAGGCACAATAACAAGACACAATAACAAGGCACAATAACAAGGCACAATAACAAGACACAATAACAAGACACAATAACAAGGAACAATAACGAGACACAATAACAAGGAACAATAACAAGACACAATAACAAGACACAATAACAAGACACAATAACAAGGCACAATAACAAGGCACAATAACAAGACACAATAACGAGACACAATAACAAGACACAATAACAAGGCACAATAACAAGACACAATAACGAGACACAATAACAAGGAACAATAACAAGACACAATAACAAGGCACAATAACAAGACACAACAACGAGACACAAAAACAAGACACAATAACGAGACACAATAACAAGACACAATAACAAGGCACAATAACAAGGAACAATAACGAGACACAATAACAAGGCACAATAACGAGACACAATAACAAGACACAATAACAAGGCACAATAACAAGGAACAATAACAAGACACAATAACAAGACACAATAACGAGACACAATAACAAGACACAATAACAAGACACAATAACAAGGAACAATAACGAGACACAATAACAAGGCACAATAACAAGGCACAATGACAAGGCACAATAACAAGGCACAATAACAAGACACAATAACAAGGCACAATAACAAGGAACAATAACAAGACACAATAACAAGACACAATAACAAGGAACAATAACGAGACACAATAACAAGGAACAATAACAAGACACAATAACGAGGCACAATAACAAGTCACAATAACAAGGCACAATAACAAGACACAATAACAAGACACAATAACAAGACACAATAACAAGGAACAATAACAAGACACAATAACAAGGAACAATAACAAGACACAATAACAAGGCACAATAACAAGACACAATAACAAGGCACAATAACAAGACACAATAACAAGGAACAATAACAAGACACAATAACAAGACACAATAACAAGGCACAATAACAAGACAAAATAACGAGACACAATAACAAGACACAATAACAAGGCACAATAACAAGACACAATAACGAGACACAATAACAAGACACAATAACAAGGAACAATAACAAGACACAATAACAAGACACAATAACAAGGAACAATAACAAGGCACAATAACAAGGCACAATCACAAGGCACAATAACAAGGCACAATAACAAGGAACAATAACAAGGAACAATAACGAGACACAATAACAAGGAACAATAACAAGACACAATAACAAGGCACAATAACAAGGCACAATAACACGGCACAATAACAAGACACAATAACAAGGCACAATAACAAGACACAATAACAAGGAACAATAACAAGACACAATAACAAGGAACAATAACAAGAAACAATA